ACTTTCGTTTAAGGAAACTGGGTGGTTTAAGTCAATTAAAGCTTTCTGTATACATGTTTTTAAAGCAAGGAAACGCTCTAGCATCAATAGAAGAGAGTTCCATCTTGTTTTGCAATCCAAAATGAGCGAAAGCTCGCTGCCTTTCTCTTCTTTGACATATTTTTGCAAGACTGCATCATTTTTTGTCGGGCATCGTTTAAAAAGAACAACTACCATACAGGCTTTTTTCACTAGTTCATTGATATTTTGTTCATTAGTGAGTAAATCCATATTTGCTATCCCATCATTTGTTGGGGGAAGAAAGCCTAATCCCATTTCCTCGTTGATAAATTCTTCATCTTCGTGATCATCTGTTTCATCAACAATATCTTGAGTTTCCTTCAATGGTGCTTCGGTGTTGGACATTGGCGTAGAACTTTTTTTATAAAGAACATCACAAACTGCAAGGTGAATTCCATGGACTAAACACAACTGGTGTTCAGCCTCAATAATTTTTCCCACACGAACCATTACATTTGGACCATCCGTAACAATAGCAACAATGTCTGTATCAATATTAACATTATGCTCCTTTAGACGTGTTTTTAAAACATCAAAACATTTCTCAGCATTCATAGAACCATATACACAAATAAGACCCAAATTCCAGTGCTTATTTGGGATATGTACATTAATATTCATGTATCTTTTATTTGTTGTAGAGGTCCATTCATCAAAGCTCAGAGAAAATCGTGTTCCCAAAGCTTTATATTGATAAATTTCTTTGGAAATTAACTGTCTAATATTTAAGCTGTAACTCACCACTATCCTTTTAATTGAGTTTGCTGACTTGGGCAAATTTTCGAAACCACTGGTAATCAGTAATTGCCTTAAATCTTTTGATGTTATAAATACATTAAATGTTAGGCCATCTAAAGCTGTCATTCGAGCCAGTGTTTCGTCTAAGGGTTTTTTTTTCAGATGCAAAGTAACTTGTTATTCTTCGTTTCGTAGGAGGCTTCTCGTCGGTTATGGCATCATTCAACTGTTGACTTGAACTAGGTAAATTTTTGTTGGCTGAAGTTACTTTCAAATTATGCTTAGTTGATAAGTGCGTATGAAGGCTTTTTGTAGAACCACCCAATGTTTTCAAAATTACACCACATTTCTTACATTTTGCTGCCAAATTATCCGCAGACTTCAATTAATGTGACCACATTGAAGTTGGGTCTTTATCTTTTTTGTGTCGAAAAAATGATGTTCCCTTTTCACTGTTTTCATTCATGTTTAGAAGGATATCTTTTTAAGGTGCATTAGTAAACAACATATTATTGAGGTAAACAACAAAATCATTTAAAAGGTTATCAGTTCAAAACGTTCAAAACGATTCATTACACAGTCAAATTTTGTATGTATTCACACTAGAATTCCTTCAAGCGGAATTAATTGTCAAGGGCATTATAATGTTGCAATAACTAATAATTGTGCAAATATAATTATACAAATCGCTAGAAATATCCCAAAGGGAATTGTTATGTAGTAATCATTAAATTTTTTTAGATATAATTTTTTTTTATTACTTGTTCATTTTTATTTTTTTCATTCTCTAAAAATATTTTTTGAAATGAACAAAACGACTTAATAAACTCAAGCAATCACTTAACAACAAATTCGCTCAACAATTTTAAAATTTATCTTTTTAACGCGAGAAGTCTTGCCAACAAACTTAACGATTGTTTTTTATACAATAGTCAAACAAACCTGCCATAATTTGTGTTTGTGAAACTTTTTTCATTGATAAAATCCTGAACTCCATGGTCTATTCAAAAATTTGTTCCATTTATCGTAAGGATAAAGCATAAACAGGATAAACCTGCAAAGCAGCATTATATAACTCGTTATAATTCAGTATAGTTACCAACTTTGAACATTTTGTTTTACAAAATAATTTAATTAGTTCAATCCTGCTATAATCCCGAAAATCCCGGGATTTTGTGTTTAGAATCCCGGGATTTTCGGGACCCAAAAACGTCCGGGATCCCGGGATCTCGGGATCCCGGGATTGCAATCCCTAGATGTAACACACATAAAATTAAATATTTCCACTTTTTTAATATTTAGAAGTGTAATGCCTATACATAATGTAAGTTCTAACTGGTAACGAAACAGTAAACCTGTCAAATTTTTCAGTTTTATAAACTAGTTAATAAAATTAAATTAAAACTTTTCATTTTGTATTTTGCCTAGCACATAAATTGCAAATCAATTTGATATCCTTTACATTTGAGACAATTGATAGTTTAAAATCATGCAGCATAGAATTTAAAACATCAGACCATCTGTTTCCAACGGTTTCATCATAGCAATAAAAATATAGTTTTTTAAATTGAAAGAATATTAATGTTAAAAAAACAAAACAAGTTTTGCCTGGAATAGTATACATATTGGTTTCAAACGTTTAGGCATTTTTTTTTGGAATCTAATGAAATTAATCAAATCTAATCACAAATAAAAAGATCAGAATCAGAACATTATTGAGTCTATTTTTTACTTTACAAAAAAAAGATACAAAAGGAACACCTTATGAAATAAAATAAAAGTTGAATTCAAGTGGAAATTTTTGTCATGATAAAAAAAAACTTATTTTATATATATAAAGGAAGTTTATATCTATATATAAATTTTTCATTTTAAATATTTTTCTGTGAATGTAATGTTGTTAACTTCATCAGAAGTAATAAATAAGTTATAAATAACTTGGACAACTGTGTTTTTTACGCTGTAAATATGGAACAACAGTAGTTGTTTCACAGTTGCTCTTTTTTTTTAAATAACCATAAAATCTTAAAACATAGTTTTATTGTTATGAAATTTTAAATTAAAACAGCTTAGTACTAAAATTTCATAAAAATATATAAAACTTGAAATTTTTAAATAGTGGACATCTGTGGTTTTACCTGTGTGGTCTATAAATATATATATATATATATATATATATATATATATATATATATATATATATATATATATATATATATATATATATATATATATATATATATATATATATATATATATATATATATGTATATATATAAATATATATATAAATATATATATATATATATATATATATATATATATATATATATATATATATATATATATATATATATATATATATATATATATATATATATATATATATATAAAACACAGTTGTCCAAGTTATTTATAACTTATGTATATATATATATATATATATATATATATATATATATATATATATATATATATATATATATATATATATATATATATATATATATATATATATATATATATATATATATATATATATATATATATATATATATATATATATATATACATATATATATATATATATATATATATATATATATATATATATATATATATATATATATATATATATATATATATATATATATATATATATATATATATATATATATATATATATATATATATATATATATATATATATATATATATGGGCAATTCCACGCAGGTGACGGTCGTAACATTTTACACTTTTTTAGTTAATAAAAGTCAAATAAGAATGATATTGATTTGAAATTTTCCAGAAATGTTAAATACTATAATAAAATTTAGTATACAAAATTTAAAGTATTTAAATCTTCAACTTATTTGAAAAATCGTCTTAACGTAGCATGACGGTCGTAACGCTTACTTTTTGACAACTCTAAACAAATCGGCTTTGACAATCTTTATGCAGTCATCTACGCGGTGAAAAATGAAATCCTTTGCTGTGTGCGTTCACTACATATTAATCTTGCTATATGCCAAGTTTTATAGTTTTTGCTTAATGTTTTACAAAAATTTTATTATATTTTTTGTCGTGACAGTTGTAACCGTGACGGTCGTAACGAAAATGCCAATAGTGAAAAACAACTGAATGCATGGCGCATTTATTGAATTCATTGCAATGAATGGCGTAAAAAAGATGAGTGATTACAAAAACTAAGTAAGTTATGTTAAAATATACACTTTATAACATTATCACTGGGATAATATTACATTTATAATGGGTATAGTGATCCAGGCATGACGATGACTGGGTATGATGATGATGTCTGGGCATGATCATATTACTTGTATTTGGACTAAGCAAAAAATGCTTAATTCCCTTTTATTCTCCTGTATACTATGACTATGGTTTAAATAATAAAATCTTTTTTAACTTGGTTGAAATAACATAATCGTTTGCGCTTAAACTTTATATAAAGTCAAGAAGCCACTTTGGAAAAACAAACATGTCGTGATGGTCGTAACGTGCCTAATAACGTTTTGAAAAGGTGATCTAATCTATATATATATATATATATATATATATATATATATATATATATATATATATATATATATATATATATATATATATATATATATATATATATATATATATACATATATATATATAAATATATATATATATATATATATATATATAAAAATGTGTGTGTGTGTATATATATATATATATATATATATATATATATATATATATATATATATATATATATATATATATATATATATATATATATATATATATATGGCTGGTGAACTTTAATTCAGATAAAACCCAATTTTTTTCAGCCAACCGTTATTGTAATAATCTAGACCTTCCTATAATCATGAACTGTTGTGTAATCGATGAGTCACCTCTCCTTTTCTAGGATTAATTCGAACTACCCTTTGTCTTCTACGATTAACTCTTACTTCCTATCTTTCCTTAAAACCATATATTAAATCCATCGCAAAAGATAATGATGTATAATCAGATGAAAACATATATGCACTTTGAATGTGAAAGAAATATTTTAACATAGAAACACATTAAAAAATCAAATCTTCTAAAAATACTTTTAAAAATAATTATACCATGAATATAAAAAATATATAAAAAAAAATTTATATAACTGAAAGTTACAAGTTATTTTATTATAACTCACCCACACAACTAGCTTTATCATTACCCAAAAGCCATCCGCTTGCACATGAACACAAAAAACTTCCCATTTTATTTTCACATACGCTGTTATTCCAAAAACATGGATTTGAGATACATTCATTGTAGTCTTTAATAAAATTGTTTTAGAATTTAATGAATCACAAAAATATTTATATAAAGTTTTACAAATTCATAAATAACAATTGCATTCAGAGAACTGAGCATTGATCAATTGAATAATTGTATTAAGCAATTGAACAACTACATTGAGAGAACATTGAAAGAATGTTCTACATTTTTAATATTACTTTATGTTCTATTTTTATATAATTTTAATGTCATGACTGATACTGTTCTTAAATCTAGTAAAAAATAATACCTAATTTTCTAATAGCATCAATTATTATTCATTTCCTTAACCAAGTTTTAAACTTCACATATATAAAATTAGTAGCAACAATAATATTGTGAACTTAAACTTTAAAAAATAGGAATTAGTTCGAGAAATTCTATATACTTGATGCATGCTAAAAATTAGTGTACGATTTCTTTTTTTAATTAGTTTTTGATTTCATATTTACATTTTTTAAGTTGCATTCAAGCTTTAACTTAAAAATTTTTGCATTTTAAATGTGAAACTGCATGTAATACAAGTTTAGTTTTGAAAAAGAAATTAGTATTACTATATATTGTTGGAGACATCATCAAATCGAGGCATTCTTTAAAGTGACTGTGAAAAGTAAAAAAATAACCCTTTGTAATTAATCCATTTATAAATTTAATAAACTATTAACCTTAATGTAAAATAACTTTTAAACAATTTTAAAAAACTATTTAGTGATGAATTTTTCAAATATCTCACCAACACAGCTAACATTATCATTACTTAAAAGCCAGCCATCGGCACATGAGCACAAATAACTTCCATATGTATTTTCACATTTGCTGTTATTCCAAAAACATGGATTTGAAATACTGCATTCGTTAATATCTTAAAAAAATAAATTTTTCAAAATTATTATACAGTTTGTTTCTTTTTAATCATAAAATATCTTTTTCTTTTTATTTTAATAATTTTTTTTTTATTAGCATACTTTTTTAAGACAAACTTACTTGAAATCTGCTAAAGTAATTTGTTTGCAAAGCAAGAATTTTAATTTTATGCATACTGCTGATATCTAGAATATGCAAAATATTGAATAACTTGATCAAATTTAGTACTAATATTATTAAGAGCCATCAGGTTAACAATATTTGAAGTTCTTTATTTTTTTTTTTTTTTTTAATATTTAGTACTTTTTTTCTTCAAAATCAGTGAAGTTTTAAACAATGTAACTTCAGTCATGGATTAAGCAACAACAATTAACAAACAACAATTAGCAGAAATGTCATCAAGTCTTAGATATGAAAAATGTATTAGAATCAATTTATGAAAAAAAAACTAAATTAATTGCACCAAACTGAAATGGTTTGTCAGCATATAAAAATTCAAGTCATTTAAACTTTTATAAAGATACTTACTCCATTTCAAAACACTGTTCCAATTTGCATTCAACGTAAAAAAATAATTGAAAATAAATTATGTTTCTAATTTTTTTTATTTTAATATATAATAAATCCTATTTTATATAATAAAGCATATGTAAAATTTGTTAATAAAATATATATAAAATACAACTTAGAGTAAAAAATATAAATAAACTAACAACCAAATTTAATTTCCATAGTTTTTTATGTTAAATGCTTTTTGGAACAGTATTTAGAAATGAATCCAGTTGGTACGCGTTGTCTAGGGAAAGTACGTCAGACGTCTCACAGGCGTCCAAAAGACATTTGACAGACATCCTCCATACAATGCATTCCCACTGGAGAGGGAGTAGCATCTCTTTAATTCAATCAAGGTTGCATCTCTTTATTGCGATTGACACTTTCTTATTCCATATTCCATTCTTTATCTCTATAAATCTCAAATCAGTCCTTGTATGAAATACTGTTGCCATATCTAGGGAGGATCTTCTAATGATGCCCTTTTTCTTTTAGACACCTTGCAAAAACGCATTGTAAACATAGTTGGACCTGCTCTTGCAGCCAACCTTCAACCATTATCACATCGTCATAATGTTGCTTCTCTTTCTCTTTTGGATGAATACTATAATGGGCACTGCTTTAAACTGCTAGTGTCTCTTGTGCCATCTACTAAAATTCATTCTCGTGTCACTTGTCATTTAATTAAGTCTCATCCTTTTTCTGTAACTTCAGGTTAAAAAGGTTTTTTCCTTCTCTACTCGAATTATGTCATGTTTCTGATCCTAGTCAGTGCTCAGTATCTCCACATCACCCTTAGGTGCCTCTGATCACAGTTTGATCTATTATCTCATTCTTCTTTATCATCAGAATCCCTCTATCATTGTACATCTTACAACTACTTTAAAGCTAACTGGGACTCTTTATGTGATTTTCTTTGTGGTGGCCTTTGGGTAGAAATCTGTCGTCTTCCTGTTGACAAATGTGCTTCTTACATAACTTTGTGGATTCAGGCTAGCATGGAATCCTTTTGATAAAGTTTGGTATGCTGGTCTTCACCATAAGTTTTCTTCTTACAGTTTATCTGAAAAAATCTTCAAGATTATTGAATCCTTCTTTTCCAATCGTAGTATAAAAATTGTCCTTGATGGACAGCACTCTACTTCTTATTCTGCAACCTCAGGGGTTCCTCGAGGTTCAATCCTTGGCCCTATACTTTTTTTAATTTACATAAAAGATCTCCCAAAAATTATCACATCTAAGGTGGCATTGTTAGCTGATAATACTCCCATTTATTCTTGTCATGATGAGAAGCCAACTCTCTCTGATTGCTTGAAGAGAGCATTAAAGCTTGAAAAGAATCTCACTTCTGCTACAGCATGGGGCTCTCAGTGGCTGGTGAACTTTAATTCAGATAAAACCCAATTTTTTTCAGCCAACCGTTATTGTAATAATCTAGACCTTCCTATAATCATGAACTGTTGTGTAATCGATGAGTCACCTCTCCTTTTCTAGGATAATTTCGAACTACCCTTTGTCTTCTACGATTAACTCTTACTTCCTATCTTTCCTTAAAACCATATATTAAATCCATCGCAAAAGATAATGATGTATAATCAGATGAAAACATATATACACTTTGAATGTGAAAGAAATGTTTTAACATAGAAACACAATAAAAAATCAAATCTTCTAAAAATACTTTTAAAAATAATTATACCATGAATATAAAAAATATAAAAAAAAAAATTATATAATTAAAAGTTACAAGTTATTTTATTATAACTCACCCACACAACTAGCTTTATCATTACCCAAAAGCCATCCGCTTGCACATGAACACAAATAACTTCCCATTTTATTTTCACATATGCTGTTATTCCAAAAACATGGATTTGAGATACATTCATTGTAGTCTTTAATAAAATTGTTTTAGAATTTAATGAATCACAAAAATATTTATATAAAGTTTTACAAACTCATAAATAACAATTGCATTCAGAGAACTGAGCATTGATCAATTGAATAATTGTATTAAGCAATTGAACAACTACATTGAGAGAACATTGAAAGAATGTTCTACATTTTTAATATTACTTTATGTTCTGTTTTTATATAATTTTAATGTCATGACTGATACTGTTTTTAAATCTAGTAAAAAATAATACCTGATTTTCTAATAGCATCAGTTATTATTCATTTCCTTAACCAAGCTAAAAAGTAGTGTACGATTTTTTTTTTTTTAATTAGTTTTTGATTTATATACACGGCCGGACTTGCTGCTTACAAGTCTGAAAAATAGTAGGCCAGTTTTAACAATTTATTAAACTTATAATTTATTATTTATTAAACTAATATCTAAATATATATTTCAAATATCAAATATATTTCAACAAAATATATAACTTGAGAAAAAAATATAAGATAAAAAAATACTGCTATAGAAAAACATAACTTATTAAAATATAAAATAGTTTTAACAAAAAATACAAAAGCCAAACTTAGCAACCATAAATTAGCTTTAGAAAAAGATGACGTTGAAGCTATAGATAAGCAAATCAAAACAAAAATTAAATATACAGAGTCCAAACATAAGTATATCTACAGCAAAAATAAGTGTAATAAATTAAGTTTGTTTCTTGTTGTGTCGATTTTTAAAGGCTACTACTTTATCTTTTCGAATCTTTCCATTTTGAATTAATACTTCATTATTAAACCATGTATTTAATGATAGAGTTTCTTTAATTAGAGATTTTATGCTAATTATTTTTTCAGAACTTTCAAATAAACGCAAACTAACCAGAAACCTTCCACCACTCATCTGCCTAAACGGATCAGATTGAAATCTACTGGTTAAAATGTAATCATATCCTTCTGAAAGTAAATCTTTGATTAAAGATGCAGTTCCTTTTAATGTGACTATGAGTGCATTTGATGTCTGAGCTGAAAAAGAAAATTTGTGACACCCCTGTAAATTTGTATTATACCATTCACTTACATATTGAGCAAAAGCATTTAAAAATTCAGATTTTTGATCATTTGCAACAATAGCATTTCCTATTTTATTATTAGTATTGTATATATTCTTTGAATTTGAAATTGTCCACCAAGTATTTGTCAAATATAGAAAATTAGCAGCACTTAATTCTTTTGGAAAATAACTTTAAATGGCAGAATATGTTGACTCGTGGAAAATTTACAAAGCCAGTTTAACACTTTGTTTATTTTTCTAGATGTAAACCAGTTGGAGTAAGTTTGTAAGCTTTCTTTAAATTAGCAGGCAGTAAGTTATCTTTTCATTAACTTGGTGAAATAACTGCAAATGAATATCTCCAGCTTCAACATTAATTGAATCCTCAAATTTATCAAAATTGAATTTTGGAAAAATGAATCTCTTTGAATGTAATAAATTATTTCTAAAGTTTTTTAAAATATGTACACTATCAAATGTTTTTTTTTTTTTTTTTTAATTGTCTTCGCTTCCAACAACGCTGCTAGCAACTACTAACTAGTATTTGAAGTTACTGGAAAAGAAAAGATAAAGATTGTCGATCAAAATAACGATTGACAGACGACTTAAAAGATTGCAAATTATATGAATCAGGAAAGCAAGATGAAAGAAGCGAATTCCAAAAAACTGATGTTCCAGGAAAAAACTAGACGAGTAAGAGTTTTTAGAGCACTTAGGAACAGTAACAGAAAAAGGATGAGACTTAATTGAATGACGAGTAACACGAGAATGAATTTTAGTAGATGGCACAAGAGACGCTAGCTCTTTCGAGCAGTGTCCATTATAGTATTTGTAGAAAAAAAAAAGAGAAGCAACATTACGACGATGTGACAGAGGTTGAAGGTTGGCTGCAAGAGCAGATCCAACTATGTTTACAATGCGTTTTTGCACCTTGTCTAAAAAAGAAAGGACACCATTAGAAGATCCGCCCAAGATATGGCAACAGTATTCCATACAAGGCCGGATTTGAGATTTATAGAGATAGAGAATAGAATCCAGATTAAGAAAGTGTTGAGCTCGATAAAGAGAAGCAACTTTAGGAGATGCTAATTTTGCAACGAATTTGATATAAGGTTTCCAAAAAAGATCAGAAGTAAGAGTTAATCCTAGAAGATAAAGGGTAGGAGACTCATCGAGTACATTACCATTCATAAATATAGGAAGGTCTAAACTATTGCGATAACAATTGGCCAAAAAAATTGAGTTTTATCTGAATTAAAGTTCATCAGCCACTGTGAGCCCCATGCTGCCGCAGAAGTGAGATCCTTTTCAAGCTTAGATGCCCCCTGCAAGCAATCAGAGGAAGTTGGCTTTTTATTGTGACAAGAATAAATGGTAGTATCATCAGCAAACAATGCCACCTTAAATGTGAGATTATCTGAAAGATCTGTAAAATGCTGTCTATCAAGGACAACTTTTATACAACGATTGGAAAGGAAGGATTCAATAATCATAAAGATGTTTCCAGATACACCGTAAGAAGAAAGCTTATGGAAAAAACAAGCATGCCAAACTTTATCAAACACTTTAGAAATGTCAAGAGCAATGGCCTTAACCTCTCCACCTTTATCTAATGCGCAATAAAACCTATCGGTTGTTACTGATAGCAAATCAGCCATAGAACCAGAAGATTGAAATCCATATTGATGATCAGAAAGTAGGTTATAAGATTCGATATGAGAGGTTAAGTGTTTGTTAATTTAAGATTCAAAAACCTTGCTTATGATAGGAAGAAGACTAATGGGACGGTAGTTAGATGAGTCAGATCGCTCTCCAGAATTTTTAAAAATAGGGATAACAGATGCTGCTTTCCAGCAGGCTGGAAAACAAGACTCTGATAAGCACTTGTTAAAGAGTTTTGAAAGGATAGACGACAGCTCCGAAGAACACTTCTGCAAGACTATAACAGGTATGTTGTATGGGCCGCAAGCTGTAGAAGAGTCTAAGCATAAAATCACTTTAGATACAGAAGCTGGGGTGATACAAATATCGAGCAATGGATGAACCTGTTTGTCGGCTATATCAGGTAGAACGCAACTAGTGGCATAAAAAGATGATATTGATAAAAAGTTCTTGGCAAACAATTTAGCTTTGTCTTTAGGTGAGGTGACAAAGTCTGAACCATACAAAAGAGGTGGAATTACAGACTTGCCCTTATTATTGATACTATTAAAGATTCGCCAGAAGTCACGAGAGCCTAATTTTTGTGATGAAATACGAGATTTCATGATCTGAGAATAGTGGGCTTCGACGTTAGACAAAACCTATTTACAATGTTTCCTAGCAGTATTAAACAGACGTCTGTTTCTGGAGAATTGTTTTGCTAATAGATATGGGAGTAATGGTTTCGATTGGCAATTGCAGCAGCACAATGAGAGGGAAACCATGGAAAAGAGTGAGGCTTGACCTGGAATCGTTGAGAGGGAATAAACGATTCCATGCCAGCCTGAATCCACGAAGTTATGTAAGAAGCACATTTGTCAACAGGAAAACGATAGATTTCTTCCCAGGGGCCATAACGAAGAAAATCACGGAAAGAGTCCCAGTCAGCTTTAAGGTAGTTGTAAGATGTACGATGATAGGGGGATTCTGATGGTAAAGAAGAATGAGATAATAGTTTTAGAGAGACCAAACCATGATCAGAAGCACCTAAGGGTGAGTGTGAAGAAACTGAGCACTGTCTAGGATCAGAAACAAGACATAAGTTTAGTAGAGAAGGTAAATGATTCGGGTTGTCTGGAAAGCGAGTTGGAAAGTTGACTATTTGAGTTAGGGATTGAGAAAGGCAAAAGTTGATGGCCTTAATGCCTGCAGAGTCACTGACACTAGAGCCAAGCCATTTAGTGTGATGAACATTAAAGTCACCAACAACTACAATATTGGCTGATGGACAAAGAATGAGGGCTTGGTCAATATAGTCAGAAACAACATCAAGAAGAGTGCAGTCTTGAGATGAAAGAGAGTGATATAGAACAAAGAGAAAGGTGATAGAGTGAAGTGGTGCTAAAGGAAAGCACATAAAAGAGTAGTCTGTGGATTTAAACCTAGTTTTCCAACAAATAGGTGAATTCTTACGAATGTAAATGCCTAGGCTAAGCATGTGGAGTCTTTATGAATTAAAGGAAGATAACGATCAACACTAAGATCACAAGATGAGACAGCTGAACTCAAATTAGTCTTACAAAGAGCAAGTAGGTCTGGTGAACTTTGCAAGAGATAAGACTCAACAGAAGAAAAGTTACTTTGAAGACCACGAATATTGGTGAATGATAGGTTTAGCCAACTTGGTGATGACTATGGTTTTTTGTGTTTTATAGTTTTTGTTACTTTATTCATTTTTAAATTTGTTAAAGAACTTGACTCGAAACATAGATAGTACTCAGCACACTTTTTTATAGCTCAAGCAATTGCCTCATTCCCACTAATAAACCCTAAGCCGTAATAAAGGGCTCCAATGTGGCCTTGACAATGCAAACCAAAAGTACAAACAGGGACACCATCCATGGGCAACATGGGACTGTTAGTACTTTGATATTTTTCAGCTGTTGATGGAATCAGCCTCTCTGAGAGCTACCACAGAGTTCGGGAAACCTGACTAACAGCCGGCCCCAGATTTATAAGACTGAGTTTCAGAGCTGTACCCTAATTTAGAGATAATAGAATGAGTTGCCTAGTCATAAAAACAGAGACACAAGCAAAACCCATGCATCAAGTCAAGAAGATCTAGCGTTCAACATCCTTAACTGGAAACAATGTATTAAAAATACATCTGCACCTGCCTAATATATGAAGAAGGGGTTCGAGGCTGTATGTATGTATAATGTATACATTTTATTTTGGGTGCGAGGTTGTGAGTTTAATATGTGAGTATAAATTTTATTTTGCGAGGTTGTGAGTTTTATATGAGATGCGAGGTTGTGAGTTTATATGTGAGGTGCGAGGTTGTGAGTTTTATATGTGAGGTGCGAGGTTGTGAGTTTTAAATGTGAGTATAAATTTTATTTTTGGTGCAAGGTTGTTTTATTTTGGGTGCGAGGTTGCGAAGGGTGCGAGGCTGTGTATAATGTATGTATAATGTATAAATTTTATTTTGTACATTATAAAAAAAAAAGTTTTTAGTAGAACTATACTTTTTTATGAGTTTTTTAAATGCAAGTGTATTCGTTGAATGGTTGTCTGTGATGATAGCTGGAATTTTGAAATTAGCATCAAAAAGATTTGTTAGGCACTCTTTAATTTCAGTCATCAACCAATTTCCAGAAATACTTGTTTCAGGACATGCTTTAACAAAAAAAGGTATAGAACATTTAATACCAACTAACATAAAAACTACAACTCCTGAATAAAGTTCTCCGTTCTCATCTTTTCCAACAAATTTACCAACATGATATTGAACACTTTTTTGCAAGTACATTTTATCAATTACCAAAACTGAATCTGAGCTTTTTTTTTCTTCTTTTAATAAATATTTTAATGCTTTAATTGGTTCGAATTCCACCTTCAGTTAATGCTTTTAAATATAAAAATGAAGGATAAGGAAATTCATCTAATAGCAAGTTATAGGCTTGTCTAGAGGTATATCATAGAACCAAAGCAAATCGAATAAGTTCATTACTATGTAACTCTCTACTATGTGATTCATAATACATAAAAATATAAAGTTTGCTTAAAATATTTTTTTCTTTTTCTTCAACCCGATTTCTCATATAAGAAACTAAATTTTCTAACATGCTGACACTTAGTGTACACTTATTGTTAGTGTACACTTATTGTTTTGAAGAAACCACTGGGGAAAAGGTATCAAATTTCCCTTATGGTACAATTTTACATGCAGATTGTTATCAGCATTAATGCTTTCAATGTTAGTTGATGATGTTACATTTTCAATGATAACAGGATAATAAATAACGCCACCATATATTTTTTTAAACAAAAATTTTGAGGACAAACTTGTTCTGTCAAGTCATTGATTGAACAAATCTTATCTAGTTGTTGAAAACCACTGTTTCATCTAGCAATGAATAAGAATAAGGTCTTTTTGTAGGAGTCTTTCTTAAAGTTATAGGTCTAGGAAGAAAAGATGGTTTAAAAAAAAAATCTTTATTTGTATGAATTGTTGGAATAGGATTCTTTGTAAAGCTTAGTGTATTTCTTTTGCCTTGTTTAATAAATTTTTCTTCGAAATGATCAATACATATTCCTGAGAATTTAGATGGTTTTCAGTTAATTCTGTTTATAAACTTGATTCACCGGGTGCATAAATTTATGTCTGAGAGAAAATTAAATACTATTTTAGTAATAAAACCCTCTACAGTATTGTCATTTTTTTTTTTTGTAACCGCTTCTGCAAGCAACTACACAGCAGTTTTTAGGCATTTCATAAGACAAATAAATAATGTTAAAAGATAAAATAAAAATTTGTTTTTATTCTAATAACAATAGTTGTAATTCTTTTGAGAACCACTTAAAGCAAATTAAGAACTTGACTAAAAACTGGCCTACTAATTTTTGGACTTGTAAGCAACAAGTCTGGCCATGAATTTAAATAGGCCATGGTTGATTCAAACTTTAACTTTAAAAATTTTTGCAATTTAAATGTAAAACTGTATGTAATACAAGTTTAGTTTTGAAAAAGAAATTAGTATTACTACATATTGTTGAAGACATCATCAAATCAAGGCATTCTTTAAAGTGACTGTGAAAAGTAAAAAAATAACCTTTTGTAATTAATCCATTTATAAATTTAATAAACTATTAACCTTAATGTAAAATAACTTTTAAACAATTTTAAAAAACTATTTAGTGATGAATTTTTCAAATATCTCACCAACACAGCTAACATTATCATTACTTAAAAGCCAGCCATCGGCACATGAGCACAAATAACTTCCATATGTATTTTCACATTTGCTGTTATTCCAAAAACATGGATTTGAAATACTGCATTCGTTAATATCTTAAAAAAATAAATTTTTCAAAATTATTATACAGTTTGTTTCTTTTTAATCATAAAATATCTTTTTCTTTTTATTTTAATAATTTTTTTTTATTAGCATACTTTTTTAAGACAAACTTATTTGAAATCTGCTAAAGTAATTTGTTTGCAAAGCAAGAGTTTTTAAATTATGCATACTGCTGATATCTAGAATATGCAAAATATTGAATAAAATGATCAAATTAAGTACTAATATTATTTAGAAAAAAAAAAAAAAAATTTATTGTTTTTTTTTATACAATATACTTTTTTTTTTAATTATTTAAATAGCTTTTAGTATCACATGTTTTAAGTTGGATTTAAAAAACTAAATAAATAAATAATTAAGTAGTTTAAAAAAAAAAATTATACAAATTTCTTCACAATTCATGTGGTTGCTAAATGGAATTAATTCATCTGTTTAAGTAGACAAAAAATCAGTTATAGCATCAAAATTTATATTGATAAGGAACAACTTTAATGTTTTTTTTATTTAATGATTGTTGTTGTAATTATTGTCATAGATCTTATAACCTAAATTAAGGTTCAGCAGGCTAGCCTTATCCAGCATTGTATTTTAACGTTTATGATTGAAAAAAGCAACAACACAAAAATTACTAAAATAATTATTTAAAGTTGGCTCTGGATGAACATGTAGGCAGTAATTTTATGTGAGTTTTCATAGCTCTGGATGAACAGCTAGTTTAAAATAACATAATATAAAAATTATTTGTTACTGTTGATTTGCATATATGCTTATATTGCTGTGTATTTAAATTTGTTAATTGTCACAAAAAATATATAGTTTTGTATAAAATTTTTTAGAAGCAATGTTTTTAATTTAAGAAAAAATAATTTTTCAAAAATTTAAGATTACTTCTAAATAACATACCTAAACAGCTACCGTTGTCATCACTCAAAATCCACCCTTTTAAACATAAGCAAAAATAACTTCCTTCTGTATTTTCACATACACTGTTATTCCAACATGGATTAAAGTTAATGCATTCGTTGTCATCTTAAAAAAATTATAAATATAAAAAAATTCTTACAAGCATAGCTCATTTAATCAAGTCACAAGCTCATTTAATCAAGTCACAAGCTCATTTAATCAAGTCATTTTTTTCATATATTTATAAACTATATTTTAATGACATTTTCCTACCTTTTAATTATCTATGAATTTGGCTGTTGACATGACAAAATCCTACCTTTTAATTATCTATGAATTTGGCTGTTACACTTTTATTTATCTACAAATGTGACTGTTACACAACTTATGTTCACTTTCAAATTTATGTCATAACTCTGACCTTTTGCTGAGTATTTCAACACTCTCCTTTAAATTAAACTACATCAGTTCTAACAACTCATTATAAATAATAAGACCTTGAAGCTAAATAGGCTTCTTTTTTTAACTTTATTTAGTAATGGTCCGAGGGCTGACATTTGTAATAAAACCTTGATTTGTATTCGAACAGAAATGAAGGCTTATAACCCTTGTCATTTGTTTCAAACCAAACCTTATTCTACCCCAGTCGTAATTATTTTTCACAATATTTTATATATTTGATAATATACTAGTTAAATATATTATTAACTCATTTGACAATATACTAGTTAAATGTACTTTGTACTTTAAATTATTAATTATACTACGCACTTGAACTACTGACCTTGATCTTGATATACTAAATATTTTGTTAAATAAAATCATAATACAAATCAAATCATAGTACTGAAATATAATTGAATATAAATCATTATAACTGCCAAATGGTTCTTATCTAACTGTAACAAAATAACAATATTCTCTGGTTGAAATATTAATATTTATTATACTTGTCATAGTTGTTTTGGTCTGAACCTATTAAGTCCTATACCAGGTGCTAAGTTATTAACTCATTAATTTGTTGTAAAATTAGGTTTGAGTTCTATGGATATTTTTTTCTATTTATTAGCTAACTCAGATGTTAAACTTTATGAATTGTATTCCAATATTCACTTTTATTCTTGATTTATCTATCTTCTACCCTTGATTTCCATCTTATTTTTGATACTAGTTTGAGAACAGTTTCTCCTTTCCGTTGAAATCAGTTTCTCCTTACCTTCTTTTTGGTTGTTTTAACTGAAACTGCTATTGATCCTTTAATTTTAATATTTAATATTACTTTAAAATTCGACAGTTAATACTAAAACAACAACAAAAAGTATATAGAAATATTATCTAAAAAAGTTGCAAATTTTGTAAATCAGAGAAATTATTTATAATTTTTAAATGAAAAAAAAAATTTTTAACATGAAAATAACTTTACTGTTGTTAATTTTGTTATTTTAATTATAAATCATTAAAAAAGTAAATCTTGACAATTCTAAATAAGTGTTTATCAAAACTTTTCTACATCAGAACCACACTATCATTGTACGACAACTACTTTATAACCCAATATTTTTGTAGTTTTCTTTGTAATAGTCCAAGAACTGATGTCTTTTGTATTTTTTCTCTCTGCAGAAAACTGCACCTCATCTATAATAACTTTATTCCTTCTTGCTGACTTTAAGTCAAGTCTTACTCTTTAGTTTTTTCTTTATGTGGAAAATTATTGAATTATTTTTTTCCAAACACAGTATTAAAGCTGTACATTTCCAGTAATGTCTGGAAATGTACAGCTTTAATACTGAATACTGAAATAAATTTTCTTCTCTGTCCGGTGCTGCTTCTGATATATGTTAATAATCTATTTGATAAACTTATCTCCAGCCCTCAAAATTAGTGTTGGCATTCGACAATGTCAACCTTAAAGTGTTTTACCTAAAATTTTTGTCCTCATTTATATGTTTTATGGTAGGATATTTGTATGATTTTTTTTTTTTTGCGGATCTGGTGCTGACCTCTAAAAGATTGAGGTCTGCAAACTATTGCCGACCTCATTTTTCATAATTGTATCTCTCAGATAGCTTTATTTAATAACACAACTTTAATTTTGACACAAAGCCAGCACTTTTAATCTTATCTCTATTTTGAAGTAGTATAGGACTTGCAGTGTCAAGTAATATAAAAAAGATTTAACTTAGTTGTTTACTACTTTCAAAGAATGGTATATTTTTAATATTCCTAAATCAATATTTAGAAAAAATCTTAGTAAACTGTCTACTTTACATCATTTAGAATTATTATTTACAATGAGCCTTTCATCATAGATTCAATGGATTGAAAAGTTAGCAATCGATTAAAAGTTAGCAATCGATTGAAAAGTTAGCAATCGATTGAAAAGTTAGCAATCGATTGAAAAGTTAGCAATCGATTGAAAAGTTAGCAATCGATTGAAAAGTTAGCAATCGATTGAAAAGTTAGCAATCGATTGAAAAGTTAGCAATCGATTGAAAAATTAGCAATCGATTGAAAAGTTAGCAATCGATTGAAAAGTTAGCAATCGATTGAAAAGTTAGCAATCGATTGAAAAGTTAGCAATCGATTGAAAAGTTAGCAATCGATTGAAAAGTTAGCAATCGATTGAAAAGTTAGCAATCGATTGAAAAGTTAGCAATCGATTGAAAAGTTAGCAACCGATTGAAAAGTTAGCAATCGATTGAAAAGTTAACAATCGATTGAAAAGTTAGCAATTGATTGAAAAGTTAGCAATCGATTGAAAAGTTAGCAATCGATTGAAAAGTTAGCAATCGATTGAAAAGTTAGCAATCGATTGAAAAGTTAGCAATCGATTGAAAAGTTAGCAATCGATTGAAAAGTTAGCAATCGATTGAAAAGTTAGCAATCGATTGAAAAGTTAGCAACCGATTGAAAAGTTAGCAATCGATTGAAAAGTTAACAATCGATTGAAAAGTTAGCAATTGATTGAAAAGTTAGCAATCGATTGAAAAGTTAGCACATGCTAAAGTTTAAATTATTGAGCTTGCTATTTTAATACTCCTGACCTGACTTTCTAACAAAATTTCATAATATAATTTTCATGTCATACTGTGTTTACATTCAGGATAGTGCTTTTTATAAGATCCCTCTCTCTTATAAACAAGACCCATAAAAGCATTAATTTTTTTTTGGATGCCGAAGCCATTAACTTATTGATGAAAGGTTGCATCTTCTATTATTCTAAAAATATTACTATGGTTGCTTTTGACCATTAACTTTATTAAAAAATTTTTTTTAGTTTTATGTTTATACAGAATAAAGATAAAAATTAAAATTAGCAGTAGAAATAAATTTTTTAATTAACTTGAAATAAAGTAGAGATATATGCAAGTTTAAATAACTTACCAATACAACCATTCTTATATTTATTCAAAATCCATCCTTGTGAACATCCTTTAAGATCTTGACAAAAAAATTATAAATCTTTGTTTATTTTATTTAATAAAAAAAAATAAAAAAAAAAGACAAAAAAACCTTTTTCAATTCAAAATTTTTTTTTCATTTTATTGCATAAAGAAGAAGAGAAGAAGCATTAGAAAACAATGTTTTAACAATGTTTATACTAATTAAAGTACAAATAAAAATACTTATAAACAAACCAAGTAGCATTTTTTTAAATATTAAATTATTGCTTCAATACTCTGCTAACCATATATCTCTGAAAAACTAACCTTAACAACCAATATTTCAAAAAAAGTGTAACTTTCATAAAGAATAGTTTTATTTTTTAATTAGAAAAAAATTTTAAATAAAAAATGTTATTGTTATTATTAAAATTATCATTGTTTAACTAATAAAAAATTGTTATTAACTATTAAACAATAAATTTCTTTTTTTTTTTCATTATTTTGCCTTCATTCTTTGTATTTATTATTTTTTATCTATTTTCTGTTTTGAAATTTTCTTTTTAGTCACTGAATTTTTTCAAAGTAAATTTTAGATGAAAGCAAGTTGTATTTCAGATTTTATTATAGAGTTGGCAGTTTGTATTAAGTTATTATATTCAATAAAAATATATTTTAATTAAAATTTTTTAAATTGAACTTAAAAAAAAAACTGATTATTATTCATTCATCTTGATTTATATTTAGTTAGTTATATTCATTTGATTTATATTTGGTTAGCAGTAAAAATAAAAATGACGATGAAAGAAGTTAAAAGTAAGTTTGAATTTTATAAATACTTTTATAAGAAGAATGCAAAAATTTCAATTTTTCTCTGTAGACCTTGTTCATTAGTTTAAATTATAGAATAATTGGTTCCTTTTAAATTAACTAGAGTGCTGAGTGAACATTCATATGGTAATTTCAACATCTAAATTGTGTTTTGTAGCATAAAAAAAATATTTCTTGCTGCAAAAAATGCAACAAGATATATTTATTTTAATTTTCTCTGTTCTTTAATTTCTTTAGGAACGTCTAATAAAAAGAGCTTCCACTGCCATGATATAATTATACTTATATATAACTATATCTATTTCTTTTTTTATTTGCGTTACCTCTAAACTCTTCTTAAAAAGTTTTAAAAGTGAAAAAAGTTGATTATATCAATGTTGACATAATTACTGTAAACTAATTTCAATGTGATTTTCACTGATTTCAGATGTAATCTTTTTAATGCTTATCATTCCTGTTAAAATTTCTTTAATTATAGTTATTAAAATTAGGTTACTAATTTATAATTTGTATGCAGTACAATTAATTTATAATTTATATACAATAAAATTATAAACAGTAATTTAAAGTGTATAAATAGATTTCCCCAGGAATATTCAACATATTTGAAAAAGATTTAACACAACATATTTGTTAAAGAGTGAATATAAGTAAAATCACATTAAAAATATTTGAAAACATTAAATATATTTTAAAAAAGATGAAATACATACTTAAAAAGAATATATATTTTACAGAGATTTTCAATTGCCTTTTCAATCATTTGCTTTTAGTCAAGTCTGCATATATGTGCATGCATATATCAGCATTTGTAAAATGTTTTTTTTTTTAATAGATGTATATTTTTGTAATTGAAAATTTATCATTATTCTTACCTTGTAGTGATATATTGTAAGAGATCCAATATACTGATTCCAAGTCACTGGGTATATCAGTAAATATAAGCTGAACCTGCATAATATGAGATAATTATATCAAATCTACATTTATAACTAAAAAATGACCTGCATAATAATATGTATGTATATCCGTGTATATATATATATATGCATGTGTATATATATATATATATATATATATATATATATATATATATATATATATATATATATATATATATATATATATATATATATATATATATATATATATATATGTATATATATATATATATATATATATATATATATATATATATATATATATATATATATATATATATATATATATATATACATATCTATATATATATATACATATCTATATATATATATACATATCTATATATATATAAAAATATATATATATATATATATATATATATATATATATATATATATATATATATATATATATATATATGTATATATATATATATATATATATATATATATATATATATATATATATACATATCTATATATATATATACATATCTATATATATATATACATATCTATATATATATAAAAATATATATATATATATATATATATATATATATATATATATATATATATATATATATATATACAGGGCTCCAAATAACAAACTTTTTTGTACCGGACAATTTGTCCAATAAAGACTCAAGTTTGCTGGACATGTCCGATAAAAATCAAAGAAGTGCAAATGAACGCCATTCCTGACCACGCTTAAAATATTTTGTTATGACAACTCTAGGCATTTCAAAATGCGCTGAAAATAAAAAGAAAATTTGTAAGACGAATTATATAAAAAAAAAAAACCTAAAGAAAAAGAAAAAATCTAAGCTCAAAAAATTAAAATTCGAAAAAGGATAATTGTAACATTCTAATAAAAATAATAAAAACCAGGCTATTTAATTCAAAAAAATGTAGTTCTTTGGCATCTTTTAAAAAATGAGTTAATTCCAAAAAATGACGAACTTAATTAACGTAGCTGTGTGTTCAACTTCAATTTTGTTTTGTATTATAAATAAAATGTTGAAAAAAGGAAGTTTATATACAATACTGAATTTAATTACAATTTTGGAACAACTATAATGATTAGAAAAGAAATCCACATAAAATATAAGTCAGACAAAATGACTGATCGATGTTGTTTTTTACCGGACAAGTGCCGGACTATGTTCAATGTCCGGCGCTTATTTCAAGCCCTATATATATAATTTTATAAAAGATTTCAAACATACCATAATTGCTAATGAGTCAGTATAACGCTGATCACTAAAGAACACCTTAAAAAAAAGCTCAACTAAGTTAAAATAAGTTAAAAATACCAATATATGCTTACGTCCAGTAAAATTTGTAGCAAAGTTTCAGTACTAGAATGTCTTTTAAAAAATAAAACTTACATCATAATATGGTAAAGAACTTGTAAAATATTTTTTTATATACTCCTAAAAATAAAAACAATGCTTTTAATTTTATAAAAATTGTGTTCAAAACAAACAATAACTATTAAAATAGTGATGCAACATTAATCTTATTATGAATAACAATATAATTACAATTATATTATTAATAATAATAATAATATTATATAATAATATTATTATTCATAATAATATAACTAAATACAATTATATTATTATTCATAATAATATAATATATAAAATACAATTATATTATTATTCATAATAATATATGTGGATGGTCTAAAAAAAATTTTGATCTGAAACTTAATAAAGAAAAAAATTAATAAACTCATCCTTATATTCAAAAAGTGCTTATGTTAAGGGGCAGGTTTTAACCCTAGCAAAATGCTGTGAAGGCAAAAAAAAAATAATAAAAAAACAGCCTGGACTAGCAAAAATTTTAAAATTTTATTTTAACAATTAAAAGTCTTTTACTATATTCAATAATTAGCTATAAGTATATATAGCCAGATTAAAAAAAAATTGAAAATCTATTATGTTAAAGGGCAGGTTTGAACCCTAGCAAAATAACACCACAGACAGCACACTAATCCATTAAGTTATCAAAGTTATGCCTTTTAAATGAAAACATATATATATATATATATATATATATATATATATATATATATATATATATATATATATATATATATATATATATAAAAGGAACAAGTATCCAAAAGGTCAGTGTGGAATAGATTTACAAAAATTTATTCATTTAGGAGTCCACTCAGAAATTATAATTGTCATTAATATATTTTTGTTTTTAATGCCTTAATTAATATTACATATAATGATAGTAGTAGTATTGTCATAATAGCTTTATAGTTATTGTTATAATTTTTCTAATAATTATGTTTATTTTTAAAATTTCTGTCATAGTTATAAACTTTACTATTATTATTTTCAACATAGTTTTTATCATTAGTTACAATTTTTATCGAAGTTATCATATTATAGTTATTATTTGTAATGTTCTTTTATTTATATTTATATAATTATTATTGTTATTATTGCTTTAATTAAAATCATTTTTCTTTACAAGTGCTTTATTCTCCATCTCTTTTTTTCTCTATCTATATTTGTTGTTATGTTTATTTTTTTTTTTCTTTTAAATTCTTTCTAAGCTTTATTTACTATTTTGTTTAGGTTTCACAAAACGGACTAGTTTTTCACTATACGAGTGACACCTAACTAATACCTAACTATACGAGTGACACTTATTCATATTGTTCACATATATATATATATATATATATATATATATATATATATATATATATATATATATATATATATATATATATATATATATATATATATATATATATATATATATATATATAATTTATTACTAAATATTAATTGACAAAAAAAAAAATCTACAAACAAAACAAAAGAAAGTCTTACTGGAAAACTAAGATCAGGTTGATAATTTCTAGTAATTTCATTATAACCCACTATTGAATCAATAAAATAATAACCATCATTAAAGGAAATTTTACTTTCAAAGTAATATTTGTTGAAATTTTGACTGTCTGAATATCTAACAACTAAACAAAAAGTCGTATGTAAAACATATATAAAAAATATATAGATAACATGAAATTTGTATAATATGTATAATATAATATGAAAAACAATTATATATATATTTATATACATATATATATATACATATATATATATATATATATATATATATATATATATATATATATATATATATATATATATATATATATATATATATATATATATATATATATATATATATATATATATATATATATATATATATATACATATATATATATATATATATATATATATATATATATTTATATATATATATATATATATATATATATATATATATATATATATATATATATATTAAATGGTATTTTTTATTTGTAAATAAAATACAAAAACTCTTGTACGTATAAGAGTGCCCAATATATAAATTTGTAAACAAAGAAAAAACAACTTTTTATGGTACTAATAGTTTCATGCCTAATGGCAATCATTGGTCATGTAATACAAAATCAAGAAATTAAAAAATCGTTAAAATATCAAGTTACAATGAGGTGTGCTCCATTGTCATAATAACAAACAACAGAAAGAAAAAAGAAACAAAGAAAAAACTTCTTAAATTCATACAAAAGTAAATGCCCAGGCCAAGGATTCTTTATTCCAAGGAGTCTTTATAAAAAAAAGGAATATAACCATCAACACTAAGATCGCAAGATGAGACAGCTGAACTCAAATTCGTCTTACAAAATGCAAGTAGGTCTGGTAAACTTTGCAGGAGATAAGACTCAACAGAAGAAAAGTTACTTTGAAGACCACGAATATTAGTAAATGATAGGTTTAGCAAACTTGGTGGTGACTGGTTTTCTTCTTTTATAGTTTTTGTTACTTTATTCATTATTTAAATTTGTTAAAGAACTTGACTTGAAACATAGATAGTACTTAGTACACTATTAAATAGCCCAAGCAATTGCCTCATTACTATTATTAAACCCTAAGCTGTAACAAAGGACTCCAATGTGGCCTTGGCACTGTACACCAAAATTACAAACAGGAACACAATCCATGCGCAACATAGTATTGTTAATACTTTGATATTTCTCAGCTGTTGATGCAATCAGCCTCTCTGAGAGCTACTGCAGAGTTCAAGAAACCTGACTACCAGCCAGCCTCAGAACTATAAAACTGAGTTTTAGAGCTGTACCCTTATTAGAAGATAATAGAATGAGTTGCCTAATCATAAAAACAAAGACACAAGAAAAACCCATGCATCAAGTCAGGAAGATCCAGCATTTAACATCCTAAACTGGAAGCAATGTTTTAAAAACACATCTGTGCCAGCATAATAGAAAGGGTGAATAAAGGGTGCAAGGCTGGTCAACAGATAGACTCTGTTTACCCTTTAAGTCTTTACCTAAGAGGCCTTCTACAAGACAGCAGCTGGATGCATTTAACACCTGCCTAAGATGAGTATTTTTATTGAGACACCATTTCTAGCCTTATTTGAACCAAGAGCCCCAAGGCAGGGGGTGTTTTATGTAGGAGTTGGCATCTCCTAGCCCTTGCCTAAAAAGGCGTATCCTACAAGGCAGCAGGACATAAAGAAGATTGTACTGGGTTACATGTTACCAGTAGCAGGATAAACCTGACCTGACTCAACCTTAATCACATTGTTGTAATGTTACTTCTCTTTCTCTTTTCTAGAAAGAATATAATGGGCACTGCTCTAAAAAGCTAGTGTCTTTTGTGCCATATTCTAAAATTCATTCTTGTGTTACTCATCATTCAATTAAGTCTCATCCTTTTTTTGTGACTGCTCCTAAGTGCACTAAAAACTCTTATTCCTATAGTTTTTTTCCTTGAACATCAGTTCTTTGGAATTTGCTTCCTTTATCTTGCTCTCCTGATTCATATAATTTGCAATCTTTAAAGTCATCTGTCACTCGTTATCTTGCTCTACAATCCTCATCTTTTCTCTTCCAGAAACTTTCGACACTAATTAGTGGTTACTTGCAGCCTTGCTGGAAGCAAAGATGTTTAAAAAAAACAACAGTATAGATTTATTTTGATTGTTTTATGGAATAAAACTTTTTTAATATATAATTGTCAAATCCATAAATAGTTTGAATTTTTTTTATTTTTATAGATGTATTATGCATTTTGGCTCAACAACTTGAATTATTTATAAAGGGGTTTTTATATTTTGGGATTTGATGACTAAGTTTGTCTTCTTCTAGCCCCATTTTTTGTAACTTATTTTTTTATTTGCAATTAGATACACACACACAAAAAAAAGTTGCTAAATGGTCTCACAATTTAGCATTGCATAAATTAGCATAAACTTAAATCAACTCTTCCCATCATTTTTACCAAAAAATAAAATATAATCTAAAAGTAGATAAATCAAGCTACAAAAATAACTCTCATGATATATTTTTCATTTTTAGACAGCTGGGACCAAATTTTCATCTGCACTGGTGGGAGAGTTTTTTTTTTATTTAGAAAAAAGTATTATTATTTTAAGTTAATACAAGAAAAAGTCCATCTTTTGCCGCTAATTGTGTTTGTGACTCATATTCCAGACAACCCTAATCTTTTGAACTCACTCCTTGATTCGTATCTCATCTCTAACTCTAGGTTGTGTTCAGTAATATTAATGGTCCCTGATAGGTCCCTAATAATAATAAAAAAAAAATTCTTTAAATGTATGCCATGCTGGGTCTCAAAAAAAAAATATATATATATATATATATATATATATATATATATATATATATATATATTTTTTTTTTTTTTTTTTTTTTTTTTTTTTGAGACCCAGCATGGCATACATATAAAGAATTTTTTTTTCATTATTATTTGGGACCTATTAGGGACCATTAATATTACTGAACACAACCTAGAGTTAGAGATGAGATACGAATCAAGGAGTGAGTTCAAATGATTAGGGTTGTCTGGAATACGAGTCACAAACACAATTAGGCAACTGACTAAAACAACTGACAACTTAGTAAAATATTGAGTAATAGAGAAGATTTGAACTTTCAACCTACGCTCTTAGTCCAATGATTGGAGTTTTATTTGTAGGTTTTTCAGATAAAAAACCTACATTTGTGTATAGCTTAATGTGTTTGACTATATTTGAAAGAAAAGTAAAATATCAAAAAACTATGCCACACAGAATAAACTAACTGACCCCACCCACTTTGTTTAACATTGGACCTATTTGAAAAGGAACTAAAACTTCGAAAAACCATACCACATAAAACAAACCAATGCACCTAACCCTCACTCCAGTAAAATTAATTAAATCTTTAACCTCGCTAAACTAGCAGCTTCTACTTTGTATCATTTTTTCAGAACCTTTGTTTGATATCATACTTTGTTATAGATTCTGTTTAAACTGCCATATTTAAAAATATAAGGTTAAAGTTATTTATAACTTATACTTTAGAGACATACTAACAAATAATTAAAATACACATATAACTATATCATATGCATGCATGTTAGCATTGCTATATTTGTCATTACTGGTGTTATTAAACCACATATTGATGCTCTCAGTCAACCTTCCCTTTACTTAATGTGGCCATCTATATAAACCAAAGCATCCAGACAATCAAACAGCTCTACAATCTACAATCTAGTCTTCTAATTTTATGTCTACTTAAATAGATACTTTGATAGCTCTTAAATAGATACTTAGATAGCTCTTAAATAGACAAATTACTAATTAAACCTAAATAGGAAGGTTATCTCTACGCATTGTGTTCCAGAAACAAATAAAATTAGAAGTAAAAACTAGTAAAGCTAAAAATAATTATTTAATATTTCAGCAATCAAATATGAAAAGTTACTCATAATTCTAGGAACCAAATCTTTTCAAAAGTTTATACCACTAATTGTATACCCATGAATTTGTTGTCTTGAGTATTTATTTATCAGGCTTTTTAAGTGTTCAAAATATTAAAAAAAAAAATACTATTGTTTAGTATTAAACCATCATCCCAGTTTTTTGGGATTGAACTGTTTCACTTTAACTGAGATAAAGTGAGACAGTTAAACCCCAAAAAACTGGAAAAAGGAAAAATTACATTAACTAGAGTAAAAGTACCCTAAATCGGACACTCTTCACAAAACCTTTTTTAATTTTGAGAATTGGTAGGATTTTTTTTTCTGGAATATAGTTGTTTATTAAAGCATTTCAGCAATGTAAAAGAAAAAAAATTAAATTTTAAGTTTTTACGGAAAATAAGATTTTATTTTTTTTAAAAGTGTCCGCTTTTCGGAAAATTGTCCCTAAAAGCCGACAGTTCCAAATTAAATGAAAAAAGCATAGATAAATTGATAAATTCAATATTTTTGTTTTTATTGTTAATATATACACATAATAATAATAAAAGCAGAAAAAACTAGAAAAAAACAAAAAAAAAAACATGCAAACTTGAGCCTAAAATAAAAATATAAAATTTATAAATTAGCTTCTGCAACCTATCGTGCAAAAGAATTTTTTGCCTTTTATATATCTTTTTGGGAAACAAGGTTCACAAAGCCACAAATTGCAACTTGATTTTTCACAAGTTTTCCATAAAACTTGCTTATCTTGCTTTTCATTTTTGAAAACCTTTGGGCATGCTTTGCACTTTTTGTACTTTTTTTTTGTTTTTCTACTTCTGCTGCTGCAAAATCGACATGTTTGTTTTATTAGCTTTGCATCTTCTTCTTCTTCTCTTAACATGTTTAACCATGCTTCTTCTGTAAAAGGTTGACCAGCCACTGATCTAACATTTCTGGCTTTTTTTGCAGGATGTTTGTAGGCGTTTCGGAATTGGAATTGGATTGCTCTTTTAAGACTGATTTTTACACGAGTCACCAATTCTTCTTAAAAAGTTAAATTTAAAGTTGAAATTGAAATTGGAGTTGCTTGCGGAATTAACTTGATTTTGGTATGCGGTAAAATTGAGCTGCACCTCTTAAGCTTAAGCTTGAGCAGCCATGGCGCAGTGGTAGCGCGCTTGCCTCAGAAACGTAAGATCCGTGGTTCAAACCCCACCTCTGGGTAAGTTTTGCGACATCGGTTAGGAAGGAGGCGTGAACTTCCTATTAAATGCTCTTCCGCAGTTCTCTGTGTGAAGACCGTGAGGACTTCTTGGGGCACCTAAAATCAATATAAAAAAAAAAAAAAAAAAAAAAGCTTAACTCGCCATTTTCAATCTTATTCAATACGTTTTTTATAGTCTCCTCAATGTAAGGCTTCTCGTTTGTTTTATTTTTTGCCATTTTTAAGTCTAGTAAATTCAATTCAGTTATAGATTTTTGAAATTGAAGAACTGATGCACTTTTGCGGTTACTTTGTGTAACTTCAACAGTATAAGTGCAAAAGGGCAAAATTAATTAACACAAAATTTAAAACTTTAAAAAACCAAATGAAAAAAACTTAGTCAATGTGAAAAAATAATAAAACAAATTAACTTTAACATAATAAAAAAATTCAATTAGAGTGAAAAAATAATAAACAAAAAAAATAATAAACATAACATAATAAATTTGTGGTACTTTTACTGTATATAAAATATAGTATTAAATAATTAATTATAAATAAACTTACTAGGGTTTACTTTTTTATGAGAAAAAAAAACATATGAAAACTTTATAAAGCCTCCATAATAAACCAATGGATACAGCAAAACATATAAATTTCCATTAAAACTTCCTTCTGAATACTGAAACACCAAACCTAGAATGAACATTACAAAAATTTATGAAAGATCAAACCTTATAATTAGTTAGCTGCATGGGCTTAAGTATATATACTAATTAATCCATGTAGAATACGCAAGAAAGTGTTGAAACATTGACTGAAGGTTTGGGTTAGGGCAATAAAATTATTCTTTCTTTTTCCTGAAAACTTAAGTGCTCAAAATATATGCGGAAACTGCATCCTTTGATATATTTTATCTGTTGAGTATATATATATATACATATATATATATATATATATATATATATATATATATATATATATATATATATATATATATATATATATATATATATATATATATGTATATATATATATATATATATATATATATATATATATATATATATATATATATATATATATATATATATATATATATATATATATATATATATATATATATATATATATATATATATATATATATATATTGCGTAACAAAAATTGCCTTTATTGTTCATTTCTATGAGGTTTACTATTAAATAAGGTTAAATAAGTTTTATTTTGACTTAAAAACTAACCTTTTAATACCGGTTAAATAAGTTTCAATTTGATATGAAAACTGACGTTTAATGGATGCAGATTTTAAGTTTATTTTTTTTTGTTTTTTGCTATTAATTTTGTGTTATGAATGAAGGAAAAAAAAAATTCATACATGCAACACTACTTCCGATAGATACGTTACGTTAGATAATGCATTTTACTGATGACTTTTTAATCAAGTCATCAATTGATTATACACTTTTCATACTTCATAACTAATTATAACACTTAATTAACGCTTTAAATGACAAATATAGTCAGTATTCGTAATTCTTAAATAAAAAAATAATTTTAAAATTACAAAAATATATTTTAAATTTAAATTATCTAAAGAATAACTGCAATACTTTTAATTTCAACTTGCAAATGGAGGGAGAAGAATCGCCAGAGAGTATCAAATGGCAAATTATAGGTTTATGGATTGTTTCTAAATTTTGAATGCAAAAAAATCAGTGAAAACCTGGGGGCTGACAGGTAAAATTGTAGACATACCTCCTTCTGGAAGACTGCCAAAACTTAGTAACCACAACAAAAGTAGCATATTCAGAACCAGTAGAGAAAATCCTTGACTTAGCAACAAAAAGCTAGCTCAAATATTTAACTAATTCTTTTTTAATCAGCATGTAAGCAGAGAACAAGTCAGAAAAACATAAGCAAAATAGGGTATTGGGTCTTACATTGCAATAAAAAAAGCCTATTATGTCAATCACGGAAAAACACACTTGAAACATGTTTGATTTCATTGGCAAAGTAATTTTATGGCAGAAGCAAGCAACTTATTTAGTGGGTGGGAAATTACTTGATGTCACATTTAATCTTTCAGAAAACTCTTATAGGCCTTGTAAAAAACCTAATGATGAATTATTGTATATTAACATAAATTCAAATCAACCCCCTTAAACTTTGAAAAAAATTACTATTCCATTTAACAATAGACTAAATCAAAACTTTTCTAATGAAAATATTTCTAAACCTAACTCTTCTAAACACGTGTATGAAGATGCTCTTAAAAAAAGCGGATTTAAAAACTTTAAGCTAAAATTAGAAATAAAAATTGCAAAAAAGTGAAATAGAAATAGAAACATAATTTGGCTCAATCCTACATACAGCAAAATTGCTTTGACAAATTTTGGAAAAGTATTTTTAAAATTAATAGACTAAATATTTCCCTCCCTTTAAAAAATTACACAAAATTTTTTAACAGAAACACTATTAAAATAAGCTATAGCTGTACAAAAAATGTTGTAAGAAAAAAAAGGCATAAAAAAAATCTTTAAAAAAAATTAAATTTAAATTAAACTGGCCTATTCTAAAAACTGAGGCTACCAATAATAACATTTAAAAAAAAATGTATACTATGTTTACAAGAAAAATTTAAAATTATTACTTATTTGGATCAAGAAAATTTACTAAACAAAATATCAGAACTAATTTCTAAATGCAGACATAAAAATAAGTAAAATATTTTTTCCACAATTTTTTGATATTTAGACATTCCTGATAAACCTGCTGATGGTGAAACAAATTGTTGAAGTCAACAATTAGATGAGTGTTTTTACTGATTTAAATTTAATAACTAATTTAATAAAGTGGCATTCATCATTGGCCAAACAAAAAGCATGCAGGTTAACAAAGTATTTAAGACTTCAGAGCAAAATAAAGTACAACTCCTCAACAAAAATAGATTTGGAATGCAGTAAATGACTAATTTTACTTTATATAAATAATGTATATTTATATAAAATAAAATAAAAAATTTAAGAAAAAATTCAAGAAAAAGTTTCTATTTTGCCAACAACATTCTTACTGAAAAGGGAATCATACAACTTTTTGTTTTCGTCAACTATTATCACAATTATTAAATTAGAAAATTTAAATTAGGAAAATATTGGTTATTGCTGCAATATCGATACTTTATAAGAACTTTTGTGTAAATAAATTGAGGCAACATCAGTTGATAAATTTAAACAACTACAATTTTCAGTCACCCCAGTAACTACAGCCACAGTTACATTATTTACTATTGCCACACAAAAGAAGCAGATATACAAGTTGGGTATAGACACATATAGTAAGCTGACAATGAGTATAACAAGGCAGTGGCTTTGTGTAACTTAATTAACAAACTAACTAAATACGAGCAGAGTTTTTGAAAATTATTTTGCTGGAAGAGTTTAATGACAATCTTTGTTCAACAGTGGTCGGCAGCTAGATATAGTTTAACAAACATTTAGGCTTATGATAAGGTCTAATGTAATATTAAGATAACTAACTACTTTTATGTTGCATTGAATAGAAATATTAAGGCTGTTACTTTTAAGCATCTGATATATATGTTTTTAAACTTTTTCCTTTTGTGGACCGCTAGCATTTTTAATCACAGCTAAGGTATTATCTCTATGCAACCCAAAATCAAACTTGCATGAATGTATATATATATAAAATAGTTTTGACATGAAGAAAAAAGTTTTTTCTATTTGATTTTAATACTTATTAAATAAATACTATAATAAATAATGCTCTAAAAAGCTAGTGTATCTTGTTTTATCTACTAAAATTCATTCTTGTGTTACTTATCATGCAATTAAGTCTAAGGGCTCCGAAAATTCATATTCTTTTTTATTTATTTTTTTAATAAACATCAATTATTTAGAATTCACTCCCTTAGTCTTTTTTTCCTGAATCATATAATTTGCAATCTTTAAGTTGTTTTTTAATTGATGTTTTGCTCTTTAAACTTAATCTTTTTTTTCCAGTAATTTTTTATTTCTTAAATAAAAAATTACTTAAATCAATTGTCCTTATTATTTTAGTTGAAAAAACCCCGAAAAGCTTGAATGACATTACTACCTCCATTCAACCTTTGTACTAAAATTTACATGTACACATTTATATATTCATATATATTCATATATATATATATATTCATAGAGAGGAAGAAAAAGATATATATATATATATATATATATAAATAAATAATATATAAAGATATATATATATATATATATATATATATATAATATATATATATATATATATACATATATATATATATATATATATATATATATATATATATATATATATATATATATATATATATATATATATATATATATATATATATATATATATATATATATATATATAGCTTTTATTGTTTGCAAACATGCAGTATTTTTTTTGGTTTTTTTGATTTTTGGGTTTGTGGTTGTCACAGAAAAACTTGATTTCAAATATTTAACTAATATAAATCCAATAAAAAAATACTAAAAATGTTTTTTTATAAAGAACAATTCTATAAACAACAATTTTATAAAGAACAATTTACCTAAAGGTACTTTGTAGTTATTAAAAGTTCCATTAATTAAACGAGTGGATAATAATAGTTGTTGATAGGATTTTGAAATAATGAATACACTATCCATATTAATACCTAAAATGCAAATAAAAACAACATGAAAGCATCAAATACAACTTTATTTCTTATTTTAAAAATATAGTTAATGAAGTTTTATGTGGTGGAATTCATTGAAGGGCTGCAATTTTAAATTTACAAGATTTTAAGTTAGTCTTAAACAAATACATTTAATAATGAATTTTCATCTAACTATTTTACAAAAGTTTTTTGCTATGCTTTCACAATTGAGAGGTACCATAAAGCAATTCTTAACTTACTCCTTGCCTTAATAGACCTTTCTGTAATTCGATTGTGTAACTGATTTCTCAGCTTCAAAAATAGGCTAGTAAGGAAAAAAAAGTAAACTAATTTTTTAGTTTCACTTCTAAAAAAAAATGTCTTACTCCAACTCTAGCATTATCAAACCAATTGAGGTGAAAAAAGGTGAAAGAGGAATGTATTGCTGTATACCATTGTGTGGAAATTCATTTTATACTAACAGTATTGTAAAGACTAATATTTGTCTATTTATTTTTTCTGAACCAAGAAAAAAGCATGATATCCACAAAGTCAGGTGTAACAAAATATTAAAAAATAGATGTGAATGAGGTGCTGATAATTTTGAAATAATGAAATACACTGAAAAGTGTGAGTTTCACTCTAGGCTGGAGGAGATAAAAATATGTCAAATAAAAATTTGTCACAGTTATTTTTAAATTGGTAAACCGACTCTGAAACAACAACAAAACCTGGTAGACTGTTCCAATAAGGTACTACAAGATTGGTTAAAAAGTTATGCCTGGGTTACTTTCTAGTAATCTCGGTATCGATTCTTTATTCCGCACTGCATAGACAACCAACAGGGACATCGACAGGTCATGGCTAAGATTTAGTAGGATTTTGCAACTTAACTATATTAAAGTTCTTGTAAAATTTAAAATATTATGAATTAAGTCACCTCTTATTCTGTGTTCATATAATGTTGTTAAATTTAACTTAACCAGACATGATTTATAACTCAGGTTGCGCTAATATGGTAGTAACTTAGTAGCATGCTTCTTTACCTGTTTAAGGTGTTGAATGTTTTTCCTAAAAAATATATTCCATACTGGTGTGCAGTATTTAAGCTGAGGACAAACATAAGCTGTTTAAAGTTTGAAAAACAGAAACACATTCCATTTTTTAAAGGTTCTCTAAAGCATTTCTAAAACCATATTAGCCTTTAGTGTTGCTTGATTTATTTGGTCAGTCTATTTGAACTTGTTGTTTATATATAATTCTGAATATTCTTCCAATACTCTAATTAAGTGTGTTATTTCTGACATCCTCTAAATAAAAATAATTTCCTGGATCACCTACCATGAAAAAAAACTCAATGTGATATAATGATTTGCCATGAAACTTTAAAACTTTACACTTGCTGATACTAAAATCCATATGCCACAGTCTAGACCAGTCATTTAAAGAACCTATGTTTGGACATGGATAAAATCATGAACACTTTTTAATCTGGCAATTAGTTGACCATCATAAGCAAACAATTTACAATATTTTCTAACTAGTTCTGGAATAACATTGATAAAACTAAGAAACAAAAGTGTTTTAAACTAAGTACACCAAAACTTCTGCTGCCGTTTTTTAATAAAAATGGATAAATACCATCAGTACCAATACCTTTGGTATTATCTAACTTGGAAAGGAGTAGTTTAATTTTATTTGGATTAAAAATTACATCAAAACTTTGTTTGCAGCAAACTTTAGTATGAAGAGCAAAATTTTGATTAACTGGGTAAATGTGGTTTGCAAAATTTAGTTCGCAGCAGGCTTTAGTATGAAGAGAAAAGTTTTGATTAACTGGGTTAACAGTTGGTTTAGAGAAGACTTTGTAAAACTAGTCGAAAGATAAGCAGAAATAGCTTTTTTATCAATAAGTTGAGTACCATTAGAAATGAAAAGTGATCAAATCTCACTAACACAAAGTTTAAGCTTGTTTACATATGCATAGAGCTTCTTTGGATTCAATTTACACACTTTAATTACTTTACTTTCATAGTTTAAAACAGATCTTGCAACTAACTTCTTGACTAATCGGTTTTGCTTTTTTTACAACATAAGGATTTTATCTTTATAATTAGAAGAAAAGCATTGAAATTTCATAAACTATGCAATCTAATTTTCTGTTTTAATCGTTTAAAAGATTTATAAATCTTAAACTTATTTTCTGTCAAGAGAGTAGTTGTAGGGCATCATTTATTGACAGGATTGAGTTTGACATGCAAACTGCCTATATTAACTACTTTTATGTCTGTTCGAGGCTGGTCAACATATTCTATCTGTTAACCAGTCTCACACCCCTTCTTTATCTATTAGACAGGCACAGATGTATTTATAACACGCTGTTTCCAGTTTAGGATGTTGAATGCTGGATCTTCTTGACTAAAGCTTGGATTTTGTTTGTGTCTCTGTTTTTATGAAAGTCAACTCGTTCTATTATCTCCTAATGAGGATGCAGCTCTAAAACTCAGTTTTATGGTTCTGAGGCTGGCTGGAAGTCAGGTTTCCCAAACTCTGTGGTGGCTTTCAGAAAGGCTAATGCTATCAACAGCTGAAAAATATTAGAGTATTAACAGTGCCAAGTTGCACATGGATGGTGTCCCTATTCATACTTTTGATTTGCATTGTCAAGGCCACATTTGGAGCCCTTTGTTATGGTTTAGAGTTTATTAATAGTAATGAGGAAATTGCTTAGAATATTAAATAGCAGTGATGTGGATGGATGGGAAAAGGCCAATACTGATGCTGATACCAATAAATTTACTAACTATTAAAATTTTGAAAATATAAAATAATGCATCTTTAAATCGTGTAATCTTTTTCATGGAATCACTACTGGTAAACAAATATTTAGACCCAAATCAGAGCCAAACTAATTTTTAAAAGATATTAGAAAAACTCAGTTAAAAAAAAAAATTTTAGTTTTTTTTATAATGAAAAGAAAACTTTCAAAAAAATAAAAACAATTTTAGGGAAACGCTTTTTACTTCTATTTAAAAAAAAAAAATGGTACTATCACAAGCAGTTTACTTAAAATACTTGTGGTAGTACTAAAGATATTTAAATTATTAATAAATCAATAGAAAATACTATTGATTTATTAATAATTTAGATATCTTTAATTTAAACAATCATATGTTGTTTAGATATCTAAATTATTTTTAGATAATTAAATTGTTTTTAGAATAATTTTATTTTGTGATGTTTGATACCTGCTACGTCCCTGGTAGTAACGGGCTCAACTTGTTTCTTTGCGAAGCAGCCTTGTTTGTCAAGGTTTGTATTTTGGAGTTATAAAGTTGAGAGAAGGTTGTAAACTTCACTAAAGTAGCCTCCTCGACTGGAGTGGCATTTGTGGCTTTGGAAAGATGAATTGAAATTAAAAAATAAATAAATAAACAAAAGTATAGAAATAAAGTAGGCTTGGACAATAGATAACTATCCTTAAATGGGTTACTTTTAAATATAACAATAGAACAACACAAACTAAAGCTATTCAAAAAAAACATTATGTTAATAAAAGTATAAGTGTATTCAGCTGTTAAATTAAAGCTTATAAACATCATATTAAGAATAAACAATATTATCTGTAAACAAAGTAATAAAAATTTATCCAAATATTTTGAGTATCTATAAAGTTTAATTTATTTATTATTAAATTATTGTCATAATGCAGGATAAAAATATTAAAATGCCATCGGTTAAAAAATTAGTATAATAATAAATAAAGGAAGATGCTGATACCAATGGTGCAAAAAGTGGCTGATTAAGCCAATGCCGATTAATTGGTACATCACTATTAAATAGCATACTAAGTACTATTTATGCTTTGAGTCAAGTTCTGCTTTTTTTTCAAGTTCTGGTTTTTTGTGTTTCATAGTTTTGGTACTTAGTTAACAAAGTACCAACTATGAAACACAAAAAGTCATTTTCATCACCAAGTTCTCTAAACCTATAATTAACTAATATTTGTGGTCTTTGAAGTAACTTTTCTCATGTTGAGCTTTATCTCTTGCAAAATTAACCAGGCAAACTTGTTTTTTGTGACACTAAATTGAGTTTGGCTAACTCATTTTGCGATCTTGGTCTTGATGGTTATCTTCCTTTAATTCATAAAGGCTCCAATAGTCACATGCTTGGCCTGGGCATTTACATTCATGAGAATTCACTCATTTGTCAGATAACTAAGTTTGAATCCACAGACTATTCTTTTATGTGCGTTTAGCTCCACTTCACTCCTTTCTCTTTGTACATCACTTTCCTTTATCCTAAGACTGCACTCTTTTCTATATTATTTCTGATCAAATTGACTGAACTCTCTCTCTTTATCCATCAGCCAATATCGTTGTTGTTGGTGACTTTAATGCTCATCACACTGAATGACTTGGCTACAGTGTCAGTGACTCTGGTTGCGTTAAGGCCCACGTTTTTTATCTTTCTAAATCTCTAACTCAAAGAATTAATTTTCATACTCACTTTCCAGACAACCAGAATCATTTAGCTTTAACTTATGTCTTATTTCTGATACTAGTCAGTGCTCAGTTTCTCCACATTTACCTTCAGGTGGTTTTGATCACGGTTTGATCTTTCTAAAAAAAATTATCTCATTCTTCTTCATAATCAGAATTCCTCTATCATCATACCCCTTACTACTACCTTTAAGCTAACTGGGACTCTCTCTGTGATTTTCTTCATGATGGTCCTTGGATTGAAATCTTTTGTCTTCCTGCAGACAAATGTGCTTCTTACAAATGTGCTTCTTAACTTCGTCGATTCAGGCTGGCATGGAATCCTTTATTTCCCCTCGACAAATCTAATATAATCTTCACTCTTTTCCATGGTTTTCCTAACATTGTGCTGCTGCAATTTCTAATAGAAACCATTACTTCTATATCTATCAACAAAACAATTCTCCAGAAAGCAGATGTCTGTTTACTATTGCTAGAAACTATTGTAAAAAAATTTTGTCTAACGCCAAAGCCATCTATTCTTGCATTTCAACTTAAAAGTTAGGCTCTCCTAACTTCTATAAAATCTTTTACAGTATCAATAATAAGGGCAAATCTGTTATTCCCTCTTCTGTATGATTCAGGTTTTGTCACCTAACCTAAAACATAACATACTTGACTCCACTAATTGCGTTCTACTTGTATTCTTATTCATATTCTGTAACTTCAGGGTTGCTTAAGGTTCAATACTCAGCTCAATACTCTTTTTAATTTACATAAACGATCTTCTATTCTCACATTGAAGTTGGCATTATTTGATGATGATACTACCGTTTTAATACAATATTAGCCGATTTACTTTTTTCAGGTAACTTTTTTTTTACCTATCTAAAATAAATAATTAAAAAAAGAAAAATAACTTTAGATCAATAAAAAAGATCAGTTTGAAGACTTTACAAAATCTATTTTAACATTAAAAAAAAAGAGTTCAAGCAATTCACTGCTCCAAACAGTTAGCGTCACTTGTGCCATCTATTAAAACTCATTCTTGTGTTACTCATCCTTCAATTAAATCTCATCCTTCTAATTTGACTGCTCCTAAGTGCTTTAAAAAGTCTTTTTTGTTTTGTTTTTTTCCTCTAACATCCGTTCTTCGGAATTCGCTTCCTTCATCTTGCTTTCCTGATTCATATAATTTGTAATCTTTTAAGTTGTTTGTTAATCATTATCTTGCTCTAAAATCTTTATCTTTTCCCTTCCAGTAATTTCCAACTCTAATAGTGATTGCTAGCAGCCTTGTTGGAAGCAAAGATGTTGAAAAAAAACAACAAAAAAAACATATTATAAAATGTTAATTCTAAAATAAAAAACAAATTAAAGAAACAAGAGGAAGCAAAACTGCTTCACAATTGCTAATTGTTTAGTGTTTTAGGGCTTTTTACTTCTTAAGTGTGTATAAAAGAAAATATAACTGTCAGTATCACAAGTTTTTAAGAATGGCAACTAAGGTAAAAAAAAAACTTTTCTATTGTGGGAGAAAGAAAAAATGATTTGACACACGGAAGAAAATAAATGGTAATAAATAAAATCTGGTGTAAGCTTTATGCAAGGAACAAAATAGGAATTTTAAGAAAACCTTCAGTTAAGCAGCGATTGATTTTTTGAAAGCATTTACAGAGGGAACTAATGTGGTAATAAAACATCTGGTAAAAATTATAACCATTAGCTTATTTTGCTTTGTCAATTCAGAAAATATTTTAAACTTAATTTTCACTTATGACATTTGATCAAATGTTTACTTTGCGGTAGTGGTGTAGTGGTAGAGCGCTCGCTTCATAAGCGAGAGGTTCCGAGTTCAATCCCCACCACATCCCTGGTAGTACCGCGCTCAACTCGTTTCTCCGCGCAGCGGCCTTGTTCGTCAAGATTTGTGTTTCTGAGTTATAGAGTTGAGAGAGGGTTATATAACCACAAATAAGTAGCCTCCTCGTCTGTAGTGGCCTTCTCGGCCTTGAGAAGGTGAATTTACAAAAAAAAAAAAAAAAAAAAAAAAAAAAAACTTTGAGATAAACAATTTCATTTTATGTAAAATTCTTTTTTAACTCTATTGAGCAACTCCTGACTTTTTGAAATTCATAAATTTTAATTTAAAACTCTTAAATTCAATTAAATGCATATTCACAAATTAGTGGTACTAATCGATTATGGAAACCCTACTGAAGGAACAAGAAATGGCTGTCTCATTATCACATTATCACTGATATCTGAAACTCATTAATTGCTATGCAAAACACCTTAAACTTTTATGATTCCTATATAAAGTTCTTTTTTTTTTTAATTATGCTTATAAAATTAAAATTAAGCTTTTTTTTGAATCACATGAAAAAATCTTATATAATTAATAACCTAATATAATAAAAATTTAAAACTTTTATTGATACTTTAATTAAAATCGTTACTTTATTTAAAAGCATTTTGCTAATATAAAAACGTTATTCAAGATAAATGTGTTAAGTTATTTATTTTTAGGTTTACTTAATTTTAATTAAAAACAATTTATTTCAGCGCATTTTTAAAATGTTAAAAACTTTGGTTAAATTGTCAAAACAAAGCATCATTTGTGTGGTCATATTATAGCGTGTAATCCTTCCTGGCCAAGCCTGATTAACAGCCTGATCATTTATTCAAAGATATAGCATTAGTATAAAAACATTTAAGGTTTGAAATAGTAATAAAAGAAAAAGGTGAAAAAACTGTACTAACTGGATATGTGGGTCTTTGACACAGCATAGACGTTTTATAATTGGTATTAGACTTCCTTTCTATCTGTCCAGCGAACGGATCCAAAACAGGCTGTCCAGAAATCTTATTTACCATCTCTAATGTCGTATCAGAGCCTCACTTCAGTGCCTTCTACTACCTCAGTCAACTTTTAATTTCTGACTCTACACTCAGCATAGAGTTAAGAAGATCCAATCTTATTATTTCTAGTTTGGTCAGCTCTTAGATAGATTCTGTTATAACCAGTCAATTTTTTAAGATCTATAGCATTTTTTGGTGCTGTCAGTTTCCACGACTATTAAATCCTATTAATATAACTTAAATTTGAAAATGAAATTACATGACTTTTCTAACATTTATATCATTATTTAACTGTTCAATAAGAGTTTGCTTTTCTTTTACTTTTAAAATTATTAGTTAAAAGCATTGACTTTAAATAATAATTCCATGAAATCAGATTCTTCTTCTTAAATACTGAAACATTCAATTTCTTCGTTTAGGGTAACAATTTACAAATGAATATTTTTCTTTCTCCTACTTATAATAATAATATCTTCAGTTATAAGAAACTATTGGTGTAAAAAATAAAAAAATATTTTCTGCTTTCAAAATAACATTTTCCCTTTTATTTTGATCTAAACACATATATCAAGACTAAGCTAACTTCCAACTTTGTTGATTCATTAGTGATTGTGAAATTATGAAGATCCTGTTTTGATGCAGTTAAATGGTCATAAACTAATCAAAAAGGTTTATTGCATGTTCTCAATAAAAAGCTCTTTGTTGACACTAAAACCTTGGTCAACAACCCACTGACTGTGAAAGAAAGTAAAAACTTAACTTAATAATTCAAAATGTTTTTTCCCATTTAAATAAAGCATTAAAAACTTCTCATTTTTAGGCAATTGAATTGCTTGAACTATTTCTTTTTAATGTTAAAATAGATTTTGAAAAGTCTTCAAACTGAGCTTTTTTATTGATCTAAAGTTATTTTTCTTTTTTTAAATATTTATTTTAGATATATAAAAAAAAAAAGTTACCTAAAAAAAAATCGGCTAATATTATTAGGAAAGTGTTTAATTTCTTATTTATTCTGTTAAGTGCTATTCTAACTAATCCTGATAACTTTTTGCTTAATACGGCTTAACTTATTAAGTTACAATTAATCTGATGATATTCATTAGTTACTAGGATTAAACAAAGTACTTATCAGGATTAAACAAAATCCGAAATCCGTAGTATATCATGCAGTTCAAAGACTTCCACAATGGCGGACGCTTTTTAATGACGGTTTCATAAATAAATTAAAAGCAAAAACAAAAAACAAGAAAGAAAGATAAAAAATAAGAATACAATAAGAAAAATAAATAAAATAAAAATAAAGAGAATAAAGAAAAGAAAAAGGAAGAAATAAAAAAACAAAAAATAAACAAAAAATTAAAAACCAAATCAAACAAATTAACAAAAGAAAAAAAACATAAAAAGAAATGAAAAAAGAAAAATCAAAAAACCTAAGTTAAAAGAAAAAAACATTTGAAAATGGAAAGTAATTAAAAATAAAATATACAAATTGCTCCGTTTTTGAAGAAGCAAAAAAATTTTAAAAAATTTTAATTTTATTTATTTTGACGGACATTTGTAGTTGTATCTATATGTGTATGTATATATATGTATGAGTTTATGTACGCACACATATCTATTTATGTGAAAATATGTGTGTATCTATGCATGTGGGTAAGTATGTGTATATATCTTTATATTAATGTTTGTAAATACATGTAACAATATAGAACTTTCTCATATTTTCTTTAATGCTTTTTTGTTTTCCTTTATTTAATCTTTAATTTTTATCATATTTTTGTTATGTTTTTTGTTATAGTATTATTACTTTTAATTTTAAAAATTTATCGTAACCACAATTACTATTACTTTTAACTTTACTATTATTATTCTTATTTTATTATTTTTAATTTAAATAACTGTATAATGTCCTTGATATTTGTTACGTTTTTTCAGTCAACTGTTTGTAACTAACTCATATGTATATTTAGATATTGTGTTTATGAAAACAAGTTATAATTTTGATTATTATTGTTATTATAGTTACTATTATAATTGTTATTGTTGTTTGTTTTTTTATTGTTATTGTGGTTCTTATGTTTATTACTATAAATATTATTTTTATTATTATCATAACTATTTTTATAACTATTACTAATTATAGATCTGTATTTTTAGTGTTTACTTAAGATTAGTAGAATTACTATTTGTAAATATCCATGAAATTATTTTTTCAGAATATATATGATTGATTGATTGATTATATATATATATATATATATATATATATATATATATATATATATATATATATATATATATATATATATATATATATATATATATATATAAATGTATATATATATATATATATATATATATATATAATATATATATATATATATATATATATATATATATATATATATATATATATATATATATATATATATAAATGTATTTACTTATTAAATTTTAAATACCTTTAGGAATACTAACAACTGGTTGCATTCCACTAACTAAAAAATATCAAGAAAAATAATTTGATAACTTTTTCTAGCATAAAATATTCTTAAGTTTAATAAGCAATATAAACCAACCAGGATAACAAATAATAATTTTTATATAGTATAGTTTTTCGCATTTTGAATTGAAATATACAACCCTTTTTATTCTACCACATCTAGTTCCAATAGTTTTTGAAATAGAATTGATTTAAGCCTCTAACATCAGAAGTAAATTCTAAATATTTTCCAAAAGAAAAACTTATTTAATGGGTATCAACTGAGGTTTCAAAAAATGCAAATTTATTCTTTGTTTTTTTATTATTAAAATAACTGAAAAATTGTTTAAATTGTTTAAGTAGTTTTCAACATTTTTTTGCTAATATTTATAATATTTATAATATTACCTGTCAGAAAATTTATTTTAAAAAATAATAATAACATTTCCTAAAATTTCTGTGAAAATGCGCTTCTTTTTCGACTCAAGTTGAAAAAAAAATTTGGAAATTGAAAATATTAGGGATATACTCCATTTATTAGAGACTTGAATTATTATAAATTTGGAACTTTACATAGTAAAAAACTATAGAAAAAGGACTGCATATTAGAGATCAAAATGTGAAATGTTATACAAAAAATGTATTGTTTATTTGGCAACAAAAAAAACCTTTTAATTGTTGACCTGTTTATTATTCTAAATGAAATAAAACTTAGTCAAAAAACTTACATGAAATTCCATTTATGATTTTGAAGTTTTTAATTAGACTGTCTTCGCTTTCGGTCCATGGATCTGAAGCATATACTCTAATATCGCTAAAAGTTTGAGCTATATTGAACAAATCAGAAAAGATTTCCTTTTTATTATGTTTTATTGCATAATAAAAAACAGTGCCATTATAAGTTTGACTTATATTAATGGAAAACCAATCAGGTAAATCGTCTAACCAAATATTAGTTCTATTTTTTCCAGTATAAATCCACAGTGAATCTCTTAGAGTGTAAATACTTAATACTGTGTAACAATTGTCTTTATTATTATTACAATTTGTTAAGTGAATAATAGAATTTGGATTAATAGACAGTGAGCGCATTATTCGAATATCTAATGAAACTATGTATTCATTATTTAGTTTGGGTATCAAAGCAATGCCATTGCCTTTTGAGATTGGTGTGGAAACACTACCAATAAGGTAATCTGAAATAAAATATAAATATTTAAAAAAAAAATGAAATAATAATTTTCAAATCAATATAACCAAAATACAAAAAATACAAACTAGCATTTAAAGAGATACTTTTGATTTTACAATATTTTTAACTCTTAACATTTCATTGAAAAATTTCAATTAACAATAAAAATACTGGAATAAAAATAACAACAAAAAGTTTTACTGAGATATATTAACTGAGAAAAATATACATGATAAACCAAAAAATAAAGATTACAAAATGAGTTGATAAATAACAAATCAGTAAAACCAAAATAATAAAAAAAACAACAACAGGCTAAAAAAACAAGTAAATAGTATAATAACTTAGTTTGTGAGGACTTTTCCGATTTAATGTGGTGCAATTCCTATATTTTAATTTATGTTTGAATAAAGCAGTATAGAAAACATTGAAAAAGACACAATTGGAAAATTTTTGCACTTCTTTGATGTACTTAAATGCTTAATAAATAGGGTTGTTTATCAGTATTAGGGCTCTTTCAGATGACGAAACTCTGAGGTTTTGCCAGTATAAATAGCATTACACTCAGCACAAAGAAATTATAGACAAGATGGGATTTAAGTAGTTTAGAAACTTTCTGAAATTAATTTATTGATATATCTTTTACTAGTATTCTGTGGTCGGTGAATCCATCAGTTTAATCTTACCACTTGCAAAATTCACCAGACTTGCCTGCTCTGAGTGAGACTAACTTAAATTCTGCTATTCTTTCTCCTGATCTCAGTGTTGATGGGTTCTATACAGTGATTCGCAAAGGCTCCAATAGCCACATCTAGGAGTATACATACACATCAATTTATCTATTTGTTGTGATATTGTGTTTTTTAATGTGCTTGCTCTTCACTCTATCACAGTTTCTTTGTTCTTTACTGTTCTCCTTTTTCGCAAGACTGCAATCTTTTAAATATTAATTCTGATCAAATTGACCATGCCCTTTCTTTAATATTGCTGTTATTGGTGACTTAAATGCTCATCACACTGAATGGTTTTCAGGCAGGAAAGTAAGCTTTTATTCCTTCTCATTGGTTCTAAGTCAAGACTAATTCTACTGCATGGTTTTCACCCTCTTGTGCAGCTGCTATATCTAATCGTAATCATTTTTTAATCTTTTTCAAAGAAAATCTCTCTTTAGAGTGAATGGCTGTTTATTTTTGCAAGAAATTGATGTAAAAAGGTGCTGTCAGATGCTAAGCATTATTATTCTCAGTTTACTAAATACTGTATCTCAGATATTAGGCTCTAGAGTTTTTATGAGATTGTTTTTGGGATAAAATATTTAGTTAGGGTTCTAAAAATATTTTGCTAATTCTATAAAACTAATATTAATTTTTAGTTAATCTTATAAGAAAACCACATGTATTTATTTTCAATGAAATATAATATTAACTATAAACATATTTCACTAATTTTTAAGGTCATATTAAATAATTTTAAACTCAGAATAAAATTAAAAAAATATTTATTGAAAACTAAAAATTATTCAATGTTTTCCAAAGTAAAAAATTCTGGAGTTTTTACTTTTTCCATTAGTTTAATCTTTTGCTACAGCTTTCACATTTATTTTCACGGTTTTTAAAACTGAAGAAGCGGAAGATGATTCAATTGCTTTAGAGTAGAGATCAATCAACATTTGGAAATTCAATAGTGTCAATAACAAAGGTAGATTCTTTCATTCATTCTTTATACTTCTTCAAAGGATAAGGGACTAATCTTATTACCTCTCCTAAGGAAAAGACAGATCTATATGTAAAGATCTTTTCTTCTAATTCAACTCAACTCATATGGCCATTCTCTTCTTTTTATTGCAATTAAACAGGTTAACCGATTGCTAGACATTCAAATCACTCCAGCTTCGGCTGCTAAAGTCTCTTTTTTTTTCTGCTTTCAATAAGGCTGCAACCAACCACTAATTAGAGTTGGTAGTTAATGGAAGTGAGAAGATAAAAATTGTAGAGCAAGATAACTATTAACAGATGACTTAAAAGATTGCAAATTAAATGAATCAGGAAAGCAAGATGAAGGAAGCCAATTCTAAAGAACTGATGTTTGAGGAAAAAAACATGAAGAACAAAAATTTTTGGAGCTTTAAGGAACCGTCACAGAAAAAAGATAAGACTTAACTGAATGACGAGTAACACAAAAAATAATTTTAGTAAGTAGCATAAAAGATGCTAGAGAAAGAGAACCAACATTACAATAATGTGATAATAGTTGGAGTTAGGCTGCAAGAACGGGTCCAACTATGTTTACAATGCATTTTTGCATTTTATCTAAAAGAGAAAGGGCATCATTAAAAGATCCGCCCCAAATAGAGCTACAATATTTCATACAAAGGCCAATTTGAGATTTATAGAGATATAGAATAGAATCCAGAGTAAGAAAATGTTGAGCTTGATAAAGAGATGCAACCTGAGCAGAAGCTATTTTTAAAACGGATTTGATATATGGTTTCAAAAAAAGATTGAAAGTAAGAGTTAATCCTAGAAAATGAAGTAGAGATTACTCATTGATTACATTACTGTTTATAAATATAGGAAGATCTAAATTATTTTAATAAAGATTGGCTAAAAAAAATTGAGTTTTATTTGAGTTAAAGTTCACGAGCCACTAAGAGCCCCATATTGTAGCAGAATTGAGATTATTTTAAAGCTCAAGTGCCCCCTCCAAGCAATCAGAGAGTGTTGACTATTTATCATGACAAGTATAAATGGTAGTTTCATTAGCGAACAATGCCACCTTGAATAAAAGAATATCTGGGTGATTTATAATGTAAATTAAAAAGAGTAAAAGGCTAAGGATTTACCTTATAGAATTCCTGAAGTTACAGAATATGAAGAAGAGTGTTGCAGGCCTTGCGATAAAGCGTCGGGCGATGTGAATTTTACGTCGTCCAAGAGCGATTTTGGGTGTAGCTAGGGCTATTTATGTCGAGCAAAAAAATTTTTGTTTGACTATATTTAAAGATATTTTTGAGCGGAATTTTAATGAAGTAATTTACGATTATTTTAACATTTAATAAAGTATTTTAAAAACCACACGCAGTTGATATAAAAGTTTGAATTACAAAAAAATTAAATATGCTCATTATTTACAAGTAGAAAAAATAGAGATTAAAAAAAAGTTTAAATCTTTTTAAGCTAGCATTTTAATAAAATTAATCAGCAATAGCAAAGTTGTCGATAAAATTGAACAAAAATACTTTCTTTTAGTTTTAGATTTTTAACTTAAATAATTATTTTACGGGGGTTTGTTAGGTTTTAAAATTATTCCATAGATTTAAAAATATTTATTAACTTTTAGACGAATTTAAAGTATTTTAGAATAATTTCTAGGAAACATTTTAAAAATTGGTGAGCGCAAAAAAAAAAAAAATAAAAGGACTAATATCAAAACATATTTTACTTGATTTAATTAAAAAGTACAGTTATTAAAATTTTTGTAAAAAGTAACTCGAAAAAAACTACTTAAATAATAACAATTGCTTTTTTGTTAAAAGTTACCAAAACTCAACGAGGCGTGCTCAAGAACAGCTGCTGAAAAATAGAACGTCAATAGTTTTTCGAATAATTTTTAAGAACAATTTTTAAGAATAATTTTTTCGCTGAAATATTTCTTTTATACCTAAAAGATTTTTATTCTAACATTTTATTTTACTTTACCAAAAATAAAATTCCTTGTAAACATTAAAAAAATTTTTAATAATACGAGTGATTGTGCTTATCAATTGCTTTATACTCTATGAAAATAAATAAAAATAAATAAATAAAAAAATATTATATAAAATCGCTAGTAAAAGTATTAGCTATTGCACAGTTTTTAATTGTACAATATTAAAATTTCCAGTTTATTAATCTCTGACTTTTTAAAAAGAAAATATAATTATTTGAAAAACTTTTGTTTTTCATTCATTTAGTATAGACAAAAGGTGTCGAGATAGTAAACAAATGTTTTTACATTTTAAAAAACAAAACATTTCAAAACATTTTTAAATAATAACATTTCTACATTAATGATTTAAAGTAGTTTTGCAGTAATTAAGTAAATTGGTGCAGTTAATGTCGATATATATGAAAAGCAAATAAAAAGAATTTAATGATGTCAAAAATCACGTCGTGCTTATGCATCGCGCAGTTTTTATTCATCACAAGGCCTGGTGTTGTCCATCAAGGACAACTTTTATCATAGATAATCCCAGACATATTTTAAACATCCATAAAATCAGTATGGTAAAATATTCGGAAAAAATCCAAATCTATCAAAACTTTAGAAATGTCAAGAGCAATAGCCTTAACCTCTCCACTTTTATCTAATGCACAATAAAACCTACCGGTTGTTACTGTTAGCAAATTTCCGGCAGGTTGGAAAAAAAAGACATTGATAAGCACTTCTTGAATAGTTTTAGATGACAGCTATGGAAAACACTTCTATAACAGACTATAACAGGTATGTTGTCTGGACCACAAGCTGTAGAAAAGTCTAAGTAGGAAATCACTTTAGATACAGAAGCTGGAGTGATACAAAAGTCAAGCAATGGATCAACCTATTTGATAGCTAAATCAGGTAGAACACAACTAGTGGAATCAAGAGATGATATTGATGTAAAATTTATAGCAAACAATTCAGTTTTGTCTTTAGATGAGGTGACAAAGTCTGAACCATACAAGAGAGATGGAATAACAGATTTGCCCTTATTATTAATACTATTAAAGATTCTCCAGAAGTCACGAGAGTCTTAGTTTTGTGATGAAATACAAAGTTTCATAACCTGAGCATAGCAGGCTTTGGCGTTAGACAAAACCTATTTACAATGGTTTCTAGCAGTAATTAACAGACATTTATTTTCTGGAGAATTGTTTTGCTGATAGATATAGAAGTAACAGTTTCAATTGGAAATTGTAGCAGCACAATGTGAGGAAAACCATAGAGAAAAGTGAGGCATGACCTGGAATCGTCAAGTTATGGAGAAAGTCCATTTATCAGCAGGAAGACAAAAGATTTCTACCCAAGAGCCATAACAAAGAAAATCACGGAAAGAGTCCCAGTCAGCTTTAATGTAGTTGTAAGAGGTACAATGATAGGGGGATTCAGATGATAAAGAGAATGAGATAATAGTTTTAGAGAGATCAAACTGTGATCAGAAGCACCTAGTAGTAGAGAAGGTAAATGATTTAGTTTGTCTGGAAAGCAAGTTGGAAAGTTGACTATTTGAGTTAATGATTGAGAAAGGCAAAAATTGTTGGCTTTAATGCTTACATTAAGGGCTCTAAATTCGGCCTTGACAATGCACAATAAAAGTACAAACAGGGACACCATCCATGCGCAACATGGCACAGTTAATATTTTGATATTTTGCAGCAATTAATGGAATCAGCCACTCCGAGAGCTAGCACAGAGTTCCTGAAACCTGCCTACCAGCCAGGCTCAGAACCATAAAACTGAGTTTTGGAGCTGCACCTCAGTAAGAGATAATAAAATGAGTTCCTTAGTCATAAAAACAGAGGCACAAGCAAAACCCATGCATTGAGTCAAGAAAATATCTTGATTGAACTTTTCTACAACTTGCGGTCCAAGCATCATTCCTTTCAGTCTTATTAAATTGTTCTCCAGAACTCTCTTGAATTCTCTCAAAACTATTTTATAAGTGCTCTTCTTGGATTATCATTTACTACTGACCTTTTATGAAAACCATATATACAATCGATTGCTAAATTAGCATCTGCTAAGGTTGCTTCTCTTTATCATGTTCGCCATTTACACTCTCTTGATTTCCATCTGTATGGAATACTGTTGTCATACTTGGGTTGGTTCTTCTAATAATGCTCTTTCTTTTCTAGACAAGGTCCAAAAACACATTGTAAACATGTTGGACCTGCTTTATCTGCTAAGCAGATAAAGCAGGTTTTTATTGTTATAAAGTTGCATCGCGTTCTCTTTTCTACAAACCATGGTTGCTGCTTAAAGGAGCATTATCTCTAGTTCCATCAACTTAAACTCAATATCATTTGACTTGTCATTCATCAAAGTATCATTCTTTTACTGTATCTGTCCCTGCATGCTCTAAAAACTTCTATTATTATCATTATTAAATTCCCCACACTTGAACCCTTTGAAACTCTCTCCCTATTTCATGTTTTCCTGAATCATACAATGTTCAACTTTTAAAGTCTTCTGTCAACCGTTTCCTTGCTTTATAACTATTCTTTTTTTCAATTAGCTCCCAACATAATAGTTGTTGCTTGCAGCATTATTGGGAGAGAACCATAATAAAAAAATAAATATAAACAGTGAAACAAAAACTATTTTGTATTTTATTATTTAATAATTTTATGTAAATTCCAGTATGAGTAAATTCCAGTGAAGCTTGAATATTGTCAAATTTGTGTGTTTACTAAGTGATAAACTAATGTTTTTATTTTCCTATCTAACAGTTCTTGCAAAAAAAAATATTTTAAAAATAAACAAAAGAGGAAACAAAACAATAAAAGCTGTGTAAACAGCCTTTTTTTAAGTTTTTTTTATGGTAAACATATTGAAAAAAAATAATAAACAAATTTTTTTATAATACAATAAACTTAATACTTAAGTCATTTTTATAATCATTATTTTTGTTTTATTATGTGTATTTTTGTCTGAAAGTATTTCTCTGCAAAATCTAAAAGTAAAAATAATTTTTTTTTCTTAGATACTAGAATTTGCTATTACATTTTTAGAAAATGTAATAGTAAAATACAAATCAAGTCAAGAATAAAAAATATTTATTTTAAAAAATATTTTCTTGTTTTATACTGTTATGAAAATTAATAAATATGTATAAAAAAAAATGAATAAGCATTTTGAAGTTAAAGGACCACTACTAGTAAAAATAACAACAAAATTAAAAAAGACTGCAAAATAAGAAATTTTATAAATAAATAAAAAATTACAACTCACAAGCACAGGTTGCATTATCCTCCCCCAATACCCATCCTGTATTACACGAACAGAAATAACTTCCAATTGTATTATAACATTTGCCATTACTCCAACTGCATGGAGGTTTGAAGGTATTACACTCATCAATGTCTGCAGAGAAAAAAACTTATAATAAAACATATATGCAAAGTATAAACAGTAAATTAAGAAACAAATGATAACCAGCTGATTATATAGTTAATGTCTATTTTGAAATTCCACATTAAATGAAAAATTAGATGGTAAAGATTTAAAAAGGTGGTGAAGACGAAATATTATGTGGTCATACAAAAATTAAACAGCTTGATCAGTTAAGTTAGATTTTTAAAAAAACTATTGACAAAAAAAAAGAAAAAAAAAACTAGTGTATTTATCAATATCATGCAATTTGATTTTAGGCCAGGGAAAGAAACAACAGTCAAAATATTTATTGCACAGTGTGTTCAAAAAGATTTTAAGAAAAGAAAAAAGATTTACGGTTAGCATTTGTAGAACTTAAAAAGGTTTTTAGGCCAATTTAGTGGGATTGGGGCTGGATTTGATAAAAAATAGCCCGGGCCAGGTTTGTGACCAGGGCTGCATAAAAATTGATACATCCTAAAGTATTTTTTTAATTCAAAAGTCAGGTTATATTTTATATGCATGTATGAAATACTTTATCTGCATACTTTTTATATAAAACATCATCATGATCAACAAGATGATCATAATCATCATTATCATCATCACCATCATCATTACCATCATCATCATTATCATCATCATCATCATCATCATCATCATCATCATCATCATTACCATCGTCACAACCATCATCATCATCATCATTATCATCATCATCATCATCTTCACAACCATCATCATCATCATCATCATCATCATCATCACAACCATCATCATCATCATCATCATCATCATCATCATCATCATCATCATCACCATCATCATCATCATCATCATCATCATCACAAACATCATCACAACCATCATCATCATCATCATCATCATCATCATCATCATCATCATCATCATCATCATCAAGCTTAAGCCTTCCCGTTTCTCTAATATAAACATTGAGCATTTTTTCTTAACTAAAGCTCATTCATACAATATTTAATACCTTTTGATTGAATATTCTTACTTCTTCCACTACCATTATCTCCATCATTATCTCCTGAAGCTGCAATAACTATATACGCTGATATCCAAACCATTTTAATCTTCTCTGACATACACTGTTCGATTCAACATTTTTTTAATCTCTGTTTAAGATTATGGCTTCATTTTTAGTCTTGTTAGAGCCAAGACATCTGTCTGCTTACAATCTTTTTTTTTTTTTTTTTTGCAAATGCTACACGATTCAACTAATTTTATATAAATAAGTTTATATAAATATGTAGGGGTATTATATGCCAGCATCTACATAAATAGCAAACATATATATTTATATCCATATATCCATATTATGAGTGCATAAACATGCATTTTAACTAACCTACTAAATCCAAGCAGGTTTGGATTATAACATTTTTACTCTACGTTTTTTACTTTGAGCAGTTGCTTTAGTAAACCCTTATCACTTTTTTCATCTTTTTTACGAGAACATCTCTTTTATGCAATGTAAAAATGCCCTGTCTAATGTTAAGCTCTGATATTCTCAGTTTACTAAATCTTGTTTCTTATCTCAGATGTTAGGTTCTAGAGACTTTTGGTAAGTCTTCAACAGTGTCATTAACTAAATTAAGCTTAACATTTAATCTCATGGGTCTGATCTTTTTATTTCCTTCCAGAATAAAGCAGAATTATTTGCAAAGAACTTTTCCTCTAATTTGACTCCTGAATCTAATGACCATACTCTTCCTGCCATTCCAGTTAAACAGATTAACTGATTGATACACATCCAAATCACTTCTAATGCTAAAGTTATTACTCAATTTAATTCTTCTAGAGCCTGTGGTTCAGACAAAATTTCAATCATAGTCTTAAAAAGTTTTTACTCATTTCTCAATGTTCTCCAAAACTCTCTTTAAATTTTGCTAAACTATTAATAAGTGCTAAATTAGTAGTTCTAATTTTTGAATATTTTATGCTTAGTCTCTTTTTGTAGTTTCTTTATATGAAGGTTTTGAGATATTAAATCATTTCTTTCTAACTGCAGTATTAAAATTATTCTTGATGGTAAACACTTATCTTCATTTCTAGTATTTCTTCTTTTTCAAGGGTACTGCAAGGTTTTATTTTTGTTCCTGCATTGTTTCTTATCTATAACAACAATCTTCCTAAAAATCTAACATCTTAAATGCCCCTATTTGCAGATGAATTAACTTTATACTCTTGTTTTAAAAAAAATTCTTTACTTTTTGATTGCTTAGAACAAGCAGAGGATTTTTAATTTGATCTCTGTGACAGCTTGGGGCTTGCAGTTGTTTGTAGATTTTAGGTACAACAAAACTCAGTTTATTGCAAAAAACTATTGCAATATTGTTGACAGTCCTATATTGACAAATGAAAAACCCTCATTTCTAATTTGATCAACCAAAACTCATTCTCCCTCAGCTTCTTATTAAGCAAGTTGCGTCAAGCCCATCCAGGTATTGGATGGGTTTTTCATCCAGGCATTGGATGGGTTTTTCATCCAGGCATTGGATAGGTTTTCCATCCAGGCATTGGATGGGGAAATAGTAAAATAATATTAAGAAACATGTTCTGCCTCGGCATAAAATACCTATTTTCTTGAAATAATCAGCTCTAAGTGTCCTTTTAGTATATCTTTGCACACCACCAAAACCTAACAACTCTCACCCATCTTCATTTTTTCCTGTTTCATACAACCTACAATTTTTTAATTTAGATAATCATTCCCTTAGTCTTTACCTTCTTTCCTAGTAACGCATAACTTTTAAGTGGTTGCTTGCAATCTTGTTGAAAGTAACTTAAAACAAGTTACTTTCAACAAGATTGCAAGCAACCAATAGTAGTTTAAAAAATATATAAACATATGTCAGTATTTAATAAACAGTAAATGTATTCATAAATTTAAAACATATAAAGTATTATGAATTTTTTTATAGCCCAGCTATCAACCCAAAAGTATCAAAGAAAACAAAACTAACACTAAAGTATATAAAACGCATCAGGGCAGCGTCACAAAAACAGTAAAAACAAACGTGTTAAGTATTTTCATTGCAAAAATGTCTCTTTTATTTGAAGGTAAGAAGTCTCCTTGTTTACAAAAGAATTCAATAAATGGCTAAAAAGCTCATATTTTAACTTTCTATAAACAGAAAAAACTTGAATTCCAAGTTTATACATTAGTTTGCACTCATAGCAATTTACTTTCATAATCTCTTTTTAATCGCTTGAATAAACTACCAAAAAGAAATATTTCAGCCTATTTATAACTTCTACCCCATAGCATTAAGCTAAAACTTGAAACTCATAGATAATAAAATCACCAAATATTTGTAAATAAAGTAATACAATGAGCTGCAAGATTTTTTGAAAAAATAAACCAATTAGAATGCACACAAAATAAAAAGGCATTTTTTGAAAACAAAAGAGCTTAAGCGCAATATATTTCTTCAAATCTCTCCTTAAATATGTTCAGAAACACAACAGGTAACAGAAAGCACAACTTAATTCTGTGTTTCTTCTATTAATAAAAATATGCCAGCTTTGCGATGCCAGCCAGTGGCATCGCAAAAACAAATATTTTAGAGAGTAAAAATGTGTTTATTTAACATTTTATGTTTAGAAAGACAGCAGCAATACACTGTAATCTAAGCAAAAATAATAGACTTCAAAACACATCATATTTGAGGTAGTACCTTAGATATGCTGTTCTTGTTTTCCTAAGATGTTAATTTTTCCTTGTTTTTTTTTTGTTTGAGAACTAATAAATTAAGAAAGATTTTTATAAAATTACCAAATATATAATCAAATAAAAAAGCATTATTTTGTCTGTTGTGTCCCCATTTGTCATATGAAACTGAAATGCATGAAATTGCATTGAAAAAAAAAACATCTGCATAGGAATCACAAATACATAACATACCTTCACATTGATCAGATAAATAATTGAACTCAAAACCAGTTGAACAGACTAAAAAAAAATTCAACTGTTTAAAGCAAGACTCATTAACATTTTTAGGACCAATCACTTAACTAAATCTTTAGAAAAAGCAATCAAGTTACCTTTAGATAAAGTAATCAATTTGAATTTTTATTATATATACATATATACATATATATATATATATATATATATATATATATATATATATATATATATATATATATATAATATATATATATATATATATATATATTTATATATATATATTATATATATATATATATATATATATATATATATATATATATATATATATATATATATATTTTGAATGAAGACATCATGTATGAGAGTATGTAAATTATTAATTTAATGCATGTAATAACAACATAATACCACAACAGCGCTAATATGTGTCAATCCTAGGACACTTTCATGTTTATTATCTGCTATAAACTATTACATAATCTATAATTTGCCATCACGCAGTAATAAACTAATGCAAATATCAACGCAAAACCGAATAATATAGCCCATGGTTCATATAAAGTTCAATAAAGTTATGCGTGCAACATACTACATATATGACAATTGTATTACTCATCAGTTTTCCTCACATCATCAGTGATGCTGACAATAAATTGTTGTGTTCTGAATTATGTTGAATTACTAATATGAATTATATTGGAAAAAATTACGATTTTCTCTCAATACTAAATTTATTTTTTATTTTTTTAAAAAAATTTTCGCTGAATTGTTGTGACCCAGCGTCTTCAGCTTCAACTCTGAAGACTGAAGACGCTGGTCACAACAATCCAGCGAAAATTTCTTTAAAAAAATAAAAAATAAAAAATAAATTTAGTATTGAGAGAAAATCGTAATTACTGATGTTTATAAAATAATAATAATATATATATATATATATATATATAAAAATATATATATACATACATATATATATATATATATATATATATATATATATATATATATATATATATATATATTATATATTTATATATATATATATATATTCGTATATATATATATATATATTATATTTATATTTATATATTTATATATATATATATATAATATATATATATATATTTATATATATATATATATACATACATATATATATATATATATATATATATATATATATATTTATACATATATATATATATAATATATATATATATATATATATATATATATATATATATATATATATATATATATATTTATATATATATATATATATATTATATATATATATATATATATATATATATATATATATATATATATATATATATAATATATAGTGATGCTATTTTGTGCATATACTATTAAGAAAGTGCTCCATAAATTAAGTCAGAGCTATAATATATATATAGTAGAAAATAAAACTACGTGATTTTCACAACTTTAAGTTTCATGCTGTTGCAATCATCAGGGGAAATACAAATATAGTTTGTTTGTTTAAAAAATTATATACAATTGAAATTATACAGAAAAAACCTATACGGAAAAAACTTTTTTTTATTGTTACGACCGCGTGTATATCTTCCGCGTTTTACGACCGCGTCTAATCTTCAGGTTTGTGGTTGCTCAATAGAAATTTATTTTCGTGACAACACTTGGAGATTAACTCTGTTTTTTTATTGAGTAGCTCTTCAGCAATTTTATAAAGCAAAATAATCAGTTTTTCATATAAGCATAGTAAACATTTTTTTTTTCATTGTTGTAGGCGGGGGCTTTTTTTAGGATAAACCAAGTTAATTCTGGTGTTTCTTTCAGTTTTTCTTTAGTTTCCCATATATGTTTTGAGAGAGTGGTTGCATTTGAAAGTTTCTTAATTGAAAATGATTGCTTTTGGTTTGCATACCTCTTTTTCCACACTCCTGATAAACCAATGTATGCTTTGCTGGGAGTGTTTGGCGAAGATGTTATACATTTGTAAATGATATTTGTCGCTCTACAATTTTTATTCAGTGGGCAGATTTCTTTTTGCTTGCAATTGCAAGGGAGATTTTCAGTGGTGTTAATTAAATTAATTTTTTTGTTAACAATAAAAAAAAGTTTTTTCTGTATAGGTTTAAAAAAAGAAAATAAGTTACAAAGATTGCAAATTTTATTTTTATTATAAATTTTAAATCTATGAAGAAAAATTTACCTTGATAAATGCAGAGACTATTTAATATGATAAGTCCACCAAAACCAGTAATTGTCAACTAAAAGTGATTTTACCAATAATACCCAAAATATAAATATTCTCTATATTAAGGGTATATGTTAAATGTTCAAATACTTACTGCTCTTTCTCTAAATCTAAATGAAAATGATGATGTGAATATGATGAAGATGACAATCATGATTTTGATTATAATAATGATGATGGTAATATCGATGATGATGAAGATAATTATATTTATGATGATTGTTACCATAAGAAAATTCTGAAAAGATTCATGATGATCAAAAGGATTTTTAAAATGATCATGATGACTATTAAGATGATCATGATTCTTTTAAGATTAATATGATAATAAAAAGTTAATGATGATTAAAATAAAATTTTACATGGCTCAACAATAAACTATGAATTATGATAATTTTTCTAAAAAATTATATTAAATTAACTTACATAAAAATTATCTTTAGTGAGAGTATATCTTTTGTTCAATACATTCCATTTATAAGTGAATGAGCTATTAGTTAGGTTGTAAAATGGAAAGTCTGATACACCTAATGCTAAAAGTTTGTAAAAAGAGTATTATAAATAAAGAAGTTAACACTGACTCTCCAAAATTTCAATTATGTTTTATAAACAATTTCAATTTTTATTTAAAAAACAAAAGAATTTAAATAATGTGATTCACATAATTATGCTACTTAATTTAGTATAATTTTTAATTAAATAAGCAGCCGTGGCGCAGCGGTAGTGCACTTGCCTCAGAAATGTAAGACCCGTACTTCAAATTCCACCTCTGGGCAAGTTTTGCGACATTGGTTGGGAAGGAGGCGTAAACTTCCTATTAAATGCTCTTTTGCGGTGCTTTGTGATAAGACCATAAGGACTTCTTGGGGCACCTTAATCAACTTTAAAAAGTTGAGAAAACTAGATTGAGCTTTCATATGTAACATATATACATATAAAACACAGGACTTCCAATACTTTAAATTTTAAACAAGTTTAAATAGTAAAAATAATTCAATTATGATTCAATTAGAAAAGAGGCAAACATGACATTATTCAATTCAAAACATTAAGAGTTTTTATAAAATTTATGTTAGTCTGTCTAAGTGTATTTGTTATGAAGAATTTTAAGTCACAATACATAAACATATTTTTTCTAAATTTGAGAAAAAACATAAAACACTTCACATTTTCAAACATCTTAATCCAATTATTTGGTTCAAGAAACATTAAAAAAGCAGAAAAAAGATTCTAAAATGGCTCTAAAATATAATTTGTATAAGAGTAAGTACACATATATAAACAAGTTATTAGACAAAAGAAATAAATTAATAATATTAAAACAAATATTTAAAAAAAAGGGCAAACCAAAAAAATCACCAAAAAAAATTGTGACTTTAATTAATTAATATATATATATATATATATATATATATATATATATATATATATATATATATATATATATATATATATATATATATATATATATATATATATATATATATGTATATACATATATATATATGTCTATTTATATATATACATATATATAATATATATATGTATATATATATATATATATTATATATATATATATATATATATATACATATATATATATATATATATATATATATATATATATATATATATATATATATATATATATATATATATATATATATATATATTATATATATATATCATATATATATATATACATATATATGTATATATATATAAATATATATATATTTATATATATATATATGTATATATATACATATATCACATATATATATATATATATATATATATATATATATATATTATATATATATATATATATATATATATATATATTATATATATATATATATATATATATATATATATATATATAGACATATATATAGTGTATAGACATATATATATGTATAGACATATATATATATAGACATATATAAATTTTAAAATTTTGAGATGGTCATTAGAATGAGGTTTGATTTGAATATTGGTTATACCATCTTTCCTAAAAACCTTGAACTATTATTTTCCTTGTGTATTGTTAATTACAGTTATATCCAGAAAGTTAATTATCTTATTTTTGTTTTCAATTTCAATAGTTTAATTTAAAGAGGAAATAGTCTGTTTAGGATTTTTCAGAGCTGTTATGCTTGCTTTAAGTTAGAAAACCTAGCATCACTATCATCTACATATCTATAAAAAGATTTTATTTCAATTAAAGGAATATTTATTTAAGGTCACAATTTTTGTAATTATATTATATCCTGATACCAGTGTCTATAATCCAGCAAAAATTTCAAATAAATTATTTAGTAGAGAGAATTTGTATTGTCTGATGTTTTAAAGCAGTTTATATATATATATATATATATATATATAATATATATATATATATATAATATATATACATTATACATATATATATATATATATATATATATATATATATATATATATATATATAATATATATATATATATATATATATATATATATATATATATATATATATATATAATATATATATATATATATATATATATATATATATATATATACTCTTGTACATGATGTTCAAAATACTTAAAAGTAAATTTAATAACGACAAAAGTAATAAAAATCAAAGAAAAACACGATTTTAAATCTTTGTGATACCAATATACCGGGATTTTAAATCGATTTTCTGAATCTTGGTCCACACTTTATACCTTCCTTGAGATCTATACCTTACATTGATGTTATTAAAAAAAAGACAAATCTTATCCAATCATAGTCATATTAACTATTGGCACACCTTGTAATGGAGTTTTAAATTACTTAGTTAAAAGAATACAACCAGTCTTAAATGAAAATCTTATTGAGTTTAAAAATTTAATAGACTTTATTAACAAAACGAAGTCGTGTTTGATAAAATAAAGGTATCCTTTGAAATATTGATGAAATAAAAGTACTCTTTGATGTCGTGAACTTATACCCATCAATGCCATTAAAAAACCAACATTAATACTTTTGGATCAATTAAATAAAGGTACTTCTTATAAAAACTCAACTAAATTTTTTTAAATAGAAACAAAACAACTAACAGAACTTTATTTGTTTATTGTTATTTCTTGTGGAATGGAGAGATTCATGAGTTAGAGAATTCAGGCCCAAATAATATTATTGATTTTATAAAAAAAACATTTATAAATTTTAAACATTTTTGGTTATTATTTTCATCAGACCCATTTGATTTGAAGTCTTAAAATGTAAAACCTTTGACATTTTTTTTACATTATGAAACAAGCATCATCTCGATATTAAATGATGCAGAATTAAACTTTGGTGAGATAACATTTTTGCTTAAAAGCTATATTTATGAAATATAGCCAGAAATCTAATTTTTTATTGTTTTTAGTTAAAATAGTGGTACAGTTTACAAAAATTTGATAACAGATACTTTTAATGTGTAAACTAACTATCAAGTTATGAAATCTTGCAAGATTTTAGGATTTTTGAGATTGTAAACCAGGTTTATTAGTGCAGTGGTTATTTACATTAGGGTAATTCCATATGAAAAAAAACAAAAAACATTTTGAATACCCTTATGTCTCAGAATTTGCTTATTTCTACCTCACTTGCATTCCATATTAAAAAAATAATTACTGCAAAAATTTTAGTTAAAAATATACATGGGTTCCAGGGATTTCATCATATTTCATCAGAAATAATGCTGACTCGGCATTTTAGTGATTAACTGAACCAACTACAAAGCAACTTTAACATATAGTATCGTCATAATGGCTTGGGAAATTTCCTAAAATTTGGTACCCCAATAGATTTTTACTTGCAGATTCTGAAAAGAGCATCCTCAAGACTTTATTTCAGGAAATGCCTCACTTATCCAATTTTGTTCAAATATATTGACTTGTAAATTCATGATTTTTGGAGGTAAAACTAAGACTGTGGCCAAAATTCCCAAATAAAAAGTTTAATTGTATATCACTATTTTATCTTAGGTCTACTGAAAAAAATTAGATTCATCAATGGTCTCTCTAATACTTGATCAAAATTTGCGTTAAAAAATTGTGTCTCTTTAGAAAAATTTAAAATTTGTAACAAAAGCAATTGAAATGTTTTTTTAAAAATTTATTTGAAGAAAACATCAAATAGTGTTATTTATTGACTAATTTAGGACGTTTATAGTCATAGGCCAAGGGAGGGCCAGAGGGCCTCTGACATACTCTGCCCCCCCCCCCCCCCAATTTAATCTTCCTGGATTTTTTTTATTTATTTGTTTTTTATGCATTAAATTATATAAAAATAAATAATTATTTAAATTCAATATAAAAACAATATCTTTTTTTTAGTTAAAAATTGAAAAACAATTTTTTTTCTTTATTTCATTTCAAATCAGTGAACGCTTACCTCTTATTATATCAAACACAAGCAAATGTTTTATTTTGCTCTTTTTAAAGGTTGCACTTTACATGTTTGTATTTTCTTAAAAAATAATTGTGAATTTTATTATTTTTGCATTTTTTGGCAAGTAATATTATAAGTAATTAACATATTTAATATGGAGAAATGTGACCTTGAAAAAGTCTCAACATTTAATGCCACAAAACATTGGATTTTCTAGAAAACAAATTTTTGGATTTTCTAGAAAACAAGTTTTTGTTCAATTCAAAGATCTTTCTTGTGAAAATCAAGAAGAAATAATATGGCAAGCAAATTTAAAGGAAAAATGTTGTTCAATAAAAATTATATGTTGTTATTATGACCAATAGGGCGTGTCATACTTTTTCTTCTTTCCAGATTAAAAACTATGTATTCTAAAAATTTGTATCTATATATAACTTTACTAAAAAAGCTAAGATTTAAAAATCCAGAGTGATTTAGCTACTGGAAGTTGATATTTGGTATTCACTTAAATGTGCGGAGAATTTCTTACTAGAATAGCAAATTTTTGCTTGTTGTTCTATTTTTTTGTCAGCTTAAATTTATTTATTTTTAATTTTTTTAATTTATTATTATTAAAATTTTTATAAAAGTTTCCGTTTAAAATCATTTTTCTATCATTTAATTTTTATTTAATAAAAATAGTTTTTTTTTATTATAAATTTTTCAACAAAATAAAATTTACATTTTTTTTTTTTTTTTGTCATCAAAAAACAAATCTTTCTTTATCCGATTAGTAGACATCAATTCTCTTAATAAGTCCTGCCCTCTTATAAAACCATTTTTTTTTTTCTTGAGAATAAACTTTGCTTGCTGTTACCTGTTTAACTCGTCTTTCAATTGACTGTCTATGACAAGGCCAATTTGGAACAATCATAGGTTGAAATATTATCTGTTTTACTTCTTCTGTTGTCAGATCACAAGTAAGAATAGGCTTATAGGATATATTCCAGTCGATTAGCATTATAAGAGTTGTTGCATCAGGTTTTATTTCTGGAGTTATTCTAGCTCTCACATTTTTATCACCAGTTTGAAGTTTTTTCATCACCAGGACCTGAAAGAAACTACATAATTTTTTACCCGTACCATACCGTATGCTTACTAACGCTATATCGGAAATCCTAATGAATTACATGTTGCATTTAAAAAAGACTACCCTAACGTCAAAGTCAGTTTGTCAAAGTTTTGTACTCTTAAACCTAAATGATGTATTACAACTAAAACATCAGGTATTCATAATGTGTGTATACATCACCAAAATACAAAATTTTTAGTGCAGGAGTTTATGGACCATGAGCTCGAAAAAGATTTAGCATTTAAGCAATGGCTTAAATCTTCAATGCAAAAGTTATAAATAAATAATATATACAGACAATATAATAATATAACAAATACCGGTTGTACAACACTACTATTACAATCATTGCCACAAGATGATTTTAATGATTTATTGTGTGACAGCATTTACAACCTTCCACTCATTCATATATTGCGAAAACACAAAGTAGATACTTGAAAAACTGTAAAGCAAATCTTAACCAAAACGAATGCCTATTTTTAGATTTTCCTGAAAATTGCCTATATGTTGTTCAGGATGAGGTTCAAAGTTATTAGTGGAGTCAAAATTCACTTTTTACAATTGTACTTTATTTTTTACAGAAAAAAGTTCTTAAACACAAATCTTTTCGTTACCTTTCAGAAGATGTTGATCATGACACAGGATTTATTTACAAGACTCACGAAGGTATAACAACAACAACAACAACAACAAGATATTTATTTTCTTTTTCAAAATTTACATATACTCATATAATAACAATAATAGTAATAATAATAAAAATAATAATAATAATACTATCTATAATAACACAAACAATATAATTATAATAAAATATAACTAATAAGAACAAATATAAATAATTATTTGAAAAGGAAGGTGTCACTCAAACAGAGACCTGATCAAAGGA